GCCACGCAAATTACCGTTGAAATCGCCACCAATATGCCGTGCTGTTTCGGAGAATACTACAAACAAATCTACACTCTGCAAGCCTACGCTAAATATGGTCTCGAAGCCAATGAGGTCCTGGTATGTTATGGGGAGGGTCGAACTGATTTGGAGGACACCCTAGAAGCACTTTCTAATATCAATGATTTTATGAAGGTGCCTATTGACATTAAGGATGAAAGTGTTGTATGTTGCGGCGATGCACTCAGTGAACCTAGCTGGAAACTAAAGCAGAACATCGAGATCCAACTTGACCATTGTAGAATCCACAATTGGCTTAGAAGGTGTAAAGAAGAAAAGATTCACTTCTGCCAGAATATACACTACCCAGCGATCGAAATCATTGGGGCCGAAGTACCATACAAACAGCAGGTTAAAGCATGCATTGACATTCTAATTCTATTTCATAATATCTCCGCCAAGACCCTTCGTATTTCTAATGTTCGCAGTAACAATCAAACCACCTCGAGGTTTAGTATGGCTACTCTAAAGTCTAATGCGGCCAAATACACTAAGTGGAACCTCAAGGTCGAAACTTTAGTGCTAGATAATGTCGATGACCAGATCATTTACTGGATGCTAGGTCACTACGACTTTACTGAACGCACCGAAGTGCATATTCTAAACGCAGGGTTCTCTAACCTTGCTATCACTCAAGTTCTTTCTCTTCCAGTAGGCCGCCAGATTGCAACGATCTTGATCAATGACTTCCTCGGACTAAATGAGGTTAAATATTTCGTCCAACGCGAACAAATCAAAGGCTTCTCACTATTCAAATACGTTGCAGACAATCCAGCGAAAGATCTTGGCCTGAACAAACTATCTTTACTGCTAAATGATATTGAACTAGGTTTATACAGTGCGATTTTGCGAGAGTTTGTGGGCTATGGCCTTCATATTCCGGCCATGCCTTTCAAGAATTACATCAAACTTGCACCTACTAACCCCGGCCCAGCTGATATAGCAAACAAAAAGAGGTTGATTCTTTACAACGCCACTCTCGAGGCCATAAAGTCCGATTTTGTCATCTGCCAAGCCACGAAAGACAGCGTTCAGCTGAATTCCATTGCCAATCTGCTTGTGCGTTTCAGCGATAGGCAGACATTAACTGAAGCGTGTGTGGCGACTATTATCCGATGGGCAGCTTGTCGATTTACAAATCTATCTACTTTGCGGCTGATAAATACTGAGATGCCAGAGAGCGAGCAGAATAATATAACCGCCCGTGACTATTTAATCCGTAAGCTAGATTTACTCAATAGCATTACAATCGAATCAATCGACCCAAACACTCCGCCAATCGAACTACTAAGTCGTCCACTTCGCATCAGCTCTGTAAGCAATGCATCTAACACGACACCCATCTCTATTCTCATGTCATCTGCCTTGGCGTCCCAACTGGCTTGTCATCCCGATCAGCTTGATAGTCTTACATCCAGCAGCCATAGCACGGTTATCTCATACCAAAAGGTTATCGAAGACCTCAAACAATCCAAGCAAGACAACAACTTCGTTTGCCCGGCCTGCAGGGATGTTCTTAACTTACCCGAGGCGGCAAAGGAACCAAAGCTAGTTCCCAAAGAGACGTTTGCAACAATTTACTATCTCACGTGTGGCCACAAGCTCTGCAATGGCTGTGTAAAACAAGTTGACCGGAACAAAGGCTGCGTAACTTGTAGAAGAGCCGATGCCTATGAAGCCATGCACCAACTTATCAGTGCTCCGCTATCTAATTTTGTGTTTGTTAAGGATAGTGTGAACACCTCCGCCGAAGAACCAGACTGGCATAACGCCCTGAAATGGCATGATGACCAAGTCTACATGTACATCACATTTAGACGCACGATTGTCTTTATTGCAGCGATCGACAAGATGCTAGCCTATAACCTCCCCAGCCAAATACATGTTATTTGAGCACGTCTAATCTAGCATTAACCCAATAAAGGCCATTCCGATATTATTTGTAAACTATCTCGTTTCCAGTATGCCACTATTATACGAAGTACAATCGACCGCTGCTTCCATGACAAAGAGCGAGGTTTTGCCAGCCGCCACATTCAGTTAAGAATGCCACAAAATAACGAGATTGAGCATGCTCTGGGGCTAGTTAGCATTGTGCTGTAGTGATCTCCATTGGATAGATACATTCTATCGAGCACCAAGTAGGAAATCAAAGTCTTTTCTAGACATTGAATCATTGCTTTTATTTCTATCAACGCATTAGCTAAAGACTGTAGCATAGCATAGCATCGTGTTGGGTTAGTGTAGTATCCAATACGAAGTCCATCTTAACCAAGACATACTCTATTAAAGACATTCCTTGAAATAAGTGTGGGCACCATTTATTGAGTAAATAAGGGTGTGTTGGAATAAGATGACGTCATATCAAGTTAGTATTAGTATTGGGTTAGTATTATTGTTAGTAAGTAGCAAGTAGTGTGTGCTAAGTGGTACGTAGTAAGTAGTGAGTGTCTTACCAGTAATCAACTTCATCGTATTAGTATTGTGGTAGTGGTCGTATGGCAGCACTACAATTAGTTGTTGGCGGATGGACAGCCCCATACAACCAGATATACCTGCAAATATCAAGACTAATGGCAATACTACAGAAGTACCTCTTGTTACAATTAAACTGGTTATGTTATTTGAGTTTAATTAGTTCAAAAACACATATGTGTTTGTTTGAGATAGCCGCATATGGGCAGATTGCCAGTTGTTTGTTAATTACACTAGGTTAGATATTGATCTATAAATAAAAATATAAGATAGCAAATTACAAAATGAACAAAGGCATGAATAGATACTCTTTGAATGTTTATCAAGTAGTTTGCTTGGTTATTGGTTTGTGTTGTGTCTGGTGTAGTTCTGGTGAGGATTCAGATGAGAGAGTGCTGATTGATAGTGTTAACCCAATCAAGTTAGATAGCGATGCAAATGAGAATCTGTTAAATGGCGATGTTCAAAGAAACAGGTTAGATAGAGATAATCAAAAACCATTGGAGTGTATTGAAATAAGCAAAGCAATGGGCGAGTTGGAAATCTTAAAGAATAATCAAACAAAGCGAATATATCTAATAAAGCAGCGCCAACAGAACCTCGAGGAAGAAAAACAAGAGGCTTTTGAGAACATGAACTCAACCCAAAGTGATTACAGCTCCTCTGGCAAACCAATAGAGAGACTCGCCCAGAAGGAGGTTTATGTGCTATCTCTACTAGTCAAAGAAAAGCTGATACAAGAAAGTGTTGATATAATTATCCTGCAACTAAAAGAATGGTCAAGTACATACACAGTGGGTGAGGACTTAACCGGCTTACATAATATAGTAAAGCAGGTAAACCGACTAAACGAAATTAAAAGTAACCTAACGGACCTAGAAAACCAATCTCAACCAACCCAATTCGAGTCATTAGAACAATCCCTGGAAACAGAAAGAACCACAATTGAAACTCGTCTAATTGAAATAGGCCAGTGTTGCGGTTTCAATGAATTAACAGAACGATTCAAAGCAATCATAGTAACAGAACTAGAAAAGATGCTGGAGCAGAGAGATACCACAATGCTAACTGAACTCTTCCAAAAACCAGAAATTGAACTAGAGACAATGTTATCTAAATTTGATATAACATTGTCTTTAGCTGATATGACAATGTCAAAGGGCTTAAAAGCAATTATAAGCAGTATAGACCCAGAGATAAATGATTTGTTGAGGAATGATAAACTCACAGGTATCGATCAAATATGGGGGAAAGTATACAACAAACTAGATAAGGTGATTAAAATGAATGCTATGCCGGTCGGGGAGAGACTATTATATGCTACGAAACAAGTTCTAAGACGACAACTATTAGGCTACCTCAGATACATCACCCTCGCAGGCTTTGGCAGAATGTATTCCGACTTAAATGGATCATATACCAACAGTAAGTTCCACCCTTCTGCACCGGCCCCAGCTTCCGATTATTACACATGTAAATGCGGCTTTCCTCATAATACTCAGTCTGCCGGTCTGAAATCAAATGAATTATCCAAGACGCCATTGCTTGACATCACTGAGGCCAGTCCGTCCAATTTGAATCAAAAAGATAGTAAGATCAATTTAGACTCAGAGCAACAAACCCTTCTTGAGGAGTTTTTAAGTGAAAGCTCTATTTGTTGGGCATTGTTTGATCTCGACAATGTTGATAATTCCAAACTGCATGTTCTATCTAACACTACCACGCTACAATTTAGAGATGGGATTGATTTCTCGCTTGCTTGGGAAGAAGACCGATTGAAGACCTTGCTACATATCTTAAATAAGCTCAGTAAAATTGAACTCAATGCCAACAAAGTCAATCTACGCGATATTCGCAATCCTACTGCTTTACTAGTCGCATCTCAACTTCTAAAACTGTTCGAGAAATCAAGGCTGAACGCCAACCAGGGCCCTATTACTATCTGTATGTGTTTAGATTTATACTCTCCATCGAGTTCTTTAGCCGAGCAGCCATTCAACGGTGTTGCCCAACAAGAACAATTCCGAAGTGAAATCGAAAGTATCGAAGAGTCTCGATACATCCTTGAGCTGCAAATCAAAAATCTCACATCAGATATGCAGAAACTCATTTGGCCGCTAGCAACACATTTATCAGTACTCCATATGGACATAGACTGCTCCTTGGTTGATGAGACAAACTTTCTCGATGATGTCAACTGGAGAGACCAGTTCACTCTCACAATAGGTATGTCTTGCCATAATGGTGTCATTGTTAACTTAGGAACCAGAACTGCGAAAGGCAAAGATCTTCCAATTTGTAAACACCTAACTATCACTAGTGACTTTTCATATGAGTATGAAGATTCATGGGATGATGTTGTTTATCCGAAGGTTTATGTCGTAAACCTTGATGGATATCTACAACCTAAATCTTTTGATACGGCAGACCAAGTCTTAACTACAGAAGTAACCTTGTCCATTGAAGTTTTGGTATCCTATGCCATCTTTGGCCCTAACCAGTCAATGTATATCTCGAATCTGCTTATAAAGAATACTCCGGAGCACTACAACATGAATGACATTACCACTCTTAGTAATAAATTAATTGGGTTTTACCGTACCTTTATTGAACAGAACCAACAAGCACTTAGCCCCAGTTTACCTACTGAGCCACGCACCAATATTAGCACAGTCGAGTTCTTTATCATAGCAGAATCAGTGGAACTGTGTGAGGAGCATTGGAATAATACACTTTGCTCGAGTGAGATTTCAGAAATCTTCTCTAACCTAATAGTCCTAAAATCCGATTATAAACAAGCATCTAATCCTCTACTAAACCCAACACAGCCACCAACCCAATCTGAATCTCAACAGTAACAATTCAGAGCGATCTTTCTATAAACTTGCCATGCTAGCTGTGACCACCCAATTTATGGCTAATGTATAGCTTGCTTTAAGTTGAGCACTAAGTGCGTAGTGTGTAAGGATAATAGTAAGGACACCATACATACAAGTTTATATGTGCACCCATATCCAAAGTTTCTTTTGATAAGAATACTAACCCAATACTACTACTAACCCAATCTCAAACTTTCTCTAGTCGCAACAAGATGCGAAAATCAAGCCTCCTTCTATCCCACATATAAGGCCAACTCCAAACAACCACCTACTTCAAAAACAAAGCATCCACCCACCCATCATCCAGCCCAGGCCATTTTTGTCTAATCTGAATAAACCAGTTAGTTAACATTTATGTTCTATTAGTACCGAAGAACCAAGGGCCCAAACCCATGGCATGATCCAACATGCTGTACTTATAGCAGCATAATTTATCTCGTCTTCAATAAGCCGTATCAAAAGCAAGAAAGCGCCAACTATTGAGAACTAACCAACTCACACCTCAGCACCAGCTCAATACCAATCTAATACCAAACTCAATACCAACCTAATACCAAACCCAACTTAATACTAACCCAATATTGCAAGTCAAGAAGTTTTATCTCCACCCAGAATCAGCATTAGTTCATATTACCCTCAATCCAATATTCAGCTCACTCTAACTAAACTATGTTAATATGCGTGGAGTGTCCAGCTGATAGTAAATGCCAAAACTATCTTTGGTGGTATAACCAACCAATTACAACTTAAATACCACTTAAATACCAACCAAATACCAACCCAATCTGAAAATAGTCTCTTTATTAGCTAGAATTCCCTCCCAGCACTAGTTGGTCTTACTAGCCCAATACTAGTACTAACCCAATACTAGTACTAACCCAATACTAATACTAACCCAATACTAATCTAATACTAACCTAGTACTAACTCAAGTAGATGTGCTAGTAAGTTTAGTAGACCTACCCAACTCAGTCCCGGCTCAATTGAAGTAAAACAGTATAGTACTATCTAGGGTTGGTTTAGCAAGTAAGTCTTATAATTCTCCAGCAGCCAGAATATTCCAAACATTTAAGCCAGAACCAATTCTTACTACCTTTACAGCACTTACTTCACTTCTCCTTCCTCTTCTTCTTAGCTATGTAGACAGGATTAGTACGATCAACTGCAAAGTCCGGATTACTAGTCTGCCGAGTAAATCTCTCATCCTGAGCCGGAACAGCAATACTTTCCAGATCATTAGACTCAGATTCCGACAAGTCATCTTCAACAGCCTCTTCTAGCACAGCCAGTTTACGCTTACCAGATTTACTATCCACTTTAACCCTATCCTCTTCATCCTCTTCATCTTCCTCATCCTCTTCCTCATCACCATCCTCAACACATTCCTCCTCTTCATATTCACCATACTCATTATCATAATCCTTATCATTACCCGGTGCTAGAAGCAAATTCCGATAGTTCTCTTGGTTCTCTTCATCTTCACTAGCATCAATCAACTCATCCGCCAAATCCAAATCTATCTCCTCGGCTAAGAATAGGTCTTTTAAAGCCTTCTCCCGCACTGTATCCTCCTCCCAACGCAGTTTAGCCTTGGTGTTATAAAGCGGATTCTTAGGAATACTCTTACTAAGCTTAGTCGGGACTGTAGCTACTTCCACTAATTCATCCTCAATCTGCACATCATCCGGAACAAACCGAGCATCAATAAAGTTAAACGTCTCCTCAATCTCTAAACCATCAATCGCCTCATAAACCGAACTAGCCACCTCTACCCCACTAAACTCCACCAGAGCATAGAAACACTTTGACTTTTCACGCAAGTACTGTCTAATATCTTGGTCTAGTGTCTCTTCTGTTGCTGTAAAGACGGGTCCTTCTTTATCCTCTCTAGACAGAAGTTCTTGACCCATCTTTGTCTTGTATATCTTTACTGCCTTGATATCCTCCTCTTTAGCAAAGGCCCGAACAATAGCTAGCAAGTCAGCCGCTACTATACTCTCCCAATCAAGATTAAGCAGTGCTATTCGCTTAGTGGGGTCTCCTTTGGGCACATCTTCATGAATTAGATCTTCTTTTGCTATCTCAATTTCTTCAGATTCTTCAGATACGTCTAAAATATCTGATTTTGTAAAGCGTTGGTCAATAGATCTATTTCGCATTGTTAAATTTTTTCGAGATGGGTGACGTAATCCAGATAAAACGGCGAATTAAGGCGTATAAACTGACCATTAGGTTGTTAAAAAAGAAAGTCAATGATTTGATTAGTAAGATAGCCGGAAGTGATGAAAAGGGATTGGAAAGTACTGAAGAAGGTGAGATAAGAACAGAAAAACCAAAAGAACGCCGGAAAAGGAAACATAAAGATAATTTAATCGGATGTAGTTTAAGTGAGACAAGTACAAGTCTGGCCAGGGGTGAGAGTATTAATGGAGTATGTACTGCTGGAAATGCAGTGGTAGGTGGTTTAGAAGAGGTGGGTTTAGATATAGATCAGATGGAGGAGATAGCTAAGAAAGATATGAGTGGGTTTTTGAAAGTCTTTTTTGAAACACTTGATAGTACAGATAGTTTGTGTCAACGACGAGTTCTAGAAAAAGTAGGAGTACTTATGAGCAATACAATTAAGTATGTTATTTTACATGATACGGTCTTATTTGCCGCTGCTTTAGAGAAGTATGAGGTGTTTTATCAGGCTTTGTATCCTTATGGTCTGGATCGGGATGGGAGTGAAGTAAGTGGGGCTTTACAGTATATTTATGAGTATGTAAGTGGTGAAGTGGATGAAGAAGGAATGGTGCAGAGGTGTGGGAAGGTTTTGGAGAAGGCGGCGGGTTTATCTGTCTTTGATAAGGACGGGAAGTTAGGACAATTAGCATTTGATGCCGCTACGGCAATTCGTATGTACAGTAAAGTTTTGGATTGGGACTGGACTTATAATGTGTTTATTAGAACGTGTTTATTTCCGGTGCTTTTGAAACCGGAGTTAGCCTTTCCTGTGCTGACTTTATCTATTTTGTATGCTGAATGGCATCGAGTATTAGCTCATCATAAGAGTTTAGAGTATGTTTTGCAGACTTTAGATAAGATAGCTGGAGTAGGTTTAGGAGAGAACATTACTGAATCAAGGTATACCTTGGAAGCCCAACTAGCTAGTGCCTTGATGTTACGGCAATTCCGGCCTGGAGCAGCTGTGAAGTGGCACCGGCAAAGAATAGAGGAGGCTAATGAAGAGACCAAAGCGATTATTGAAGATATTTGGAAGGTTGTTTTGTTATAAATTATAGATAAATTATCAGTGATTTGTTCATTTAAGTTGTTATTTTGAGTTGTTATTTTGAGTTATTAGTGCTGGTGGTATCTAGAGGTGCTTAGGATTAGATAGTGTATTATTGGGTTAGTAGTGTATTATTATGGTAGTAGTGTATTGTTCTGGTAGATGTATTGTTATGGTAGATGTATTATGGCATAAGTTGTATTATTATGATGTAAGTTGTATTATTATAGAAGATGTGCTGTTATGTTAGTAGTGTTATGTTGTGGCAGATGTATTATGGCATAAGTTGTATTATGATATATGTAGTATTATGGCATAAGTTGGATGAGATGAAAATCACTCATTGGTTCAACCCAAGATTAGACGGGGTTAGTATTGGGTTGGATAACTTACTTAACATTACAGAAATCACTTAACATCATAGATAACTTACTTAACTCAATAGATAACTCACTTAACTCAATAGATAACTTAGATTATAAGGTATAAATAAGAATGGACTTAATAAGTACATTGATCTTTATGACCCGACTAAAACATAGATAGTACTATTGGATCTTTAGTCTATAAACAAGTAAAATACACAACTCAATCTAAGTCAATTTATATACAAATTTCAAGATGCGCAAAAATGGTTAGTAAAGAGGTATTAGCGAATCTTCCAGCGGCAGCTAAGAAGGAATTGGCCAAAGTAACCGAAAAGTTCAAAAATGGCGAGATGACACAAGATGAGTATAAAGAACTTTGTGCTGAGATTGTATCTAACTATGAAGACGAAGAATCTGGAGAAGAGAAAGTACCAGAAGTAAAGAAAGGAAGACCAGCTAACAAGGAAGACCAAAAACCAGAGTATATGAGTGATATTATTCAGTATGCAGGAGTGAATTTGAAAGAAGAGGCTATGCAGATAGCTAAAGAGGCCGATAAGGCCTTGCCATATGAAGAAACGAAAGGATCTCAAAACGATCATCAGAATAGTATTGAGTCACTTTTTGATACGCATATGTTTATCTACTTTGTGAATAAGATATGTAAATTGCGTGAAGTGGGTATATCTGATGAAGCTATGCAAGTAGTCTTTCTGGCCTGTAAGAGGAAGATCATGGATGTTTTAGAGAAGTTAATTGAGCAGAGTAAGATTAGAGTGGATGCAGCTCGGTGTGATTATTTGATTCGGATTGAGAATGATCGGCGGCGACAGATGTGGTTCTTGGAGCAGGAAGAGCGTTTGGAGATGGACAAGTACCGCCAGAAGAAAGAGGGAGATGATGGGGATGGGAAGAAGAAGTGGCGTAAGATCTTGCAAGAACGCGAGGACTTGATTATTAAGAAGCGGCTGAGTAACAATGTGGCTTTAGCGGCTTTGGGTAGTCAGCCTAAAAGTTGGATGGCGGCTAGTGCGGCTTCAGGAGATGATGGATCGGCGCCCTATCTGACTTTGTTCCAGGGCAGTGAGGATAGAACTCAAAAGACAAACACTCGGATTATTATCAAGGAAGACTTCTTGTCTGTTCTTTCTCGAGACAAGAGGTATAACAAATCTGTCTTTACCATTAAGCATTCATATGTGTAGTATTAAGATGGTAGAGTGCGAAGTGATATAGTATTTGGTTCTCAAGACGGTTTATTGTTTGAAGATGCTTAATAAAGACGTATTGGATTAAGTTAGTGTTAAGTTGAGGTGAGATGGGGTGTGGTGTGGTGTTAAGTTGAGTTATTGATGTATTTAAGATTAGAGCACACTTGATTGAAGTTGAGTTGATTCGGGGTCGGCTGGTTTAGGATCGGTGGATGTAGGGTCGGTTGGTTTAGGAGCGGTTGGTTTAGGGTCTGCTGGTTTAGGGTCGGTGGTTTCGGGGTCGGTTGGTTTAGGGTCTGCTGGTTTGGGGTCAGTGGGTTTGGGAGCGATTGGCTTGGAGGCGATTGGTTTGGGGAATACAGCGGGGCGGGCTTCGATGAAGATGGGGACAAATATCTTATTCCTAGTTTGATCCGTCTTTAGATCAGTAGGTTTTACTTTCCATGACATTAAAGTGATGCTTGCTGGTTCTTGATGTGATGGGAGTTTGCTAGTGAGTTTGTCTCGGCAAAATTGATAGTCTCTACCATCTAGTGCTGCACTGCTTATAGCGGCTGTCAGCCAGGCTTTTAAAAGGACCTGGGATTGGGTGAGGCTGCGGGAGGTTTCCAAGAGTCGTAGTTGGGCTTTGGGATCAATGATTTCGTGATGGTGGGATATGACCGGGCGGCGGGCGGCGGTTGGAGCATTGCTTATATGGAAATGAATGCTGTTTTGAAGAGGTCCACTGACAGGGCCGAGAGTAAGATAGAGGTAGGTAGGTTTGGAAACTTTGTATAATGTGTGCAGGAGATGATCGAACATTTCGTGTGTGTGCTGGGTAGTCTTGGTTTCCTCTTGAAAGGACTTAATAGGAATCTTAAGCATGTCATACGGATCGAAGAAAATGGTGTTGCTGGAGAAGATATTCTGTATGTCAGTTATTTCGTTTAATTGGATATCGAAAGTTCGGAAAGCTATGGGGGATATGCTGTAAAGATGATATGTGCAGATGGGTAAATTATTGATACTAATACACTTTTTCAATATGGAGATAGGTAGCTTAATATAGATTGAGAAGAACCTCCAGATGGGCGTTATTTGCTTATTGAAGCCGCCGTTAGGTTGGTTTATGAAAGGTTGTATGAGTTTCTTGTAGATTCGGGTAAAGGCTCGTATGTATTTGAGGCGCTTGCTATCTTCATAAAACTCTCCTACCCTGAAAGAGATATAGGTGGCGCTTAGGGTCAAAGAATACCGTTTGTTAATCGAACAATGAGTTAATATTTTGATTATTTCATATAGTGCTCTGGTATTAGTGAGTTTATAAATGTTCATGCCACGTTTATCGCTCATATATTCGATGGGTTGGAACACAACATGGCTGCAGTGATGGATTAGTAGCCTGGAAAAGTATTGATTGTATCGGTTGAGCGCAATAGTTAGTGGATCTAAGCTGAGGCAGATATCGTTCGGCATGAACCATAATGGATCAGTGTACTGCGGTGTGTAAGGGGGCTGTTCTGGCTGGTCGGATAATAGGAGGGCAATGGATTGATCGTCGATGTTGGTCTGTTCTATTCTATAGTAGTCTGGGCATAACGCAAGAGTCGAGGCGATTGGGAAATACCTAAGAACATTCACAATGTCTAGTGGCGCGAGCTCCGGAATGTGAATAGTTAGCGTATCTAATGGACTGAGTGCGGCATGTGCGTTGTATCGTGTTCTACAGCACTCTAGAATCACAAATAAGTTGCAGTCGACTGGATTGTATATTGGACAAGAATCCGGCAGTGAAATAGATGTATGGGCTGCAATGGTAATGTCAAGGGATTTAAGTTTTGGAAAGTGGTACAACAATGTATAGAACACTGCCCCCATTATGATGTAGTCGACGTTAGATAAACAGAGGTTTCTTATGTTTAGTTTGTTGGGGCATTTTGATTCCATGCAGATGCTATCATCGAAACTCTGGACTACAGTGTCGACGAACATGTCCGTTATAGGTTCGGTTTGGTATAAGGTAAGTAGTGGGCAGATTAAAGGGTCCAGATCAATGATTAGGGTGGCAGCCGGCCACAAGCTTTCTAGCAAAGGAAGGGATTCTAACTTGAGATGGTCAATGCCGGATGTGTTTTGTTTATAAGACAGACTAATGGCGAGTGTGTTTAGTTCATGTTTGCGGAGGGTAGTTGGGAAACAACTAATGGCCTGGAGTTTTGTGCAGTTTTGTATATAGATGCGAGTCATGTAGAAGGTAATCATGTCTGCGAAGTTTTCATATACCGTCTTGCAGGTGTCTTGTGGCAAGATGCTTTCAAATAGGTCTGGGTCTGTGCGATCGTGCGGTCGCAATAGTGATGTAAAGCTATACAGCAGTGCATCGAGCGTTTGGTAGATTGAAGCATCACTGAGGGAAAATACCAGCACCTTTAATTCCCGCAGGTTTACGATGTAGAAATGGCACGGGTGGTATTCGGCAGTATTTTGTGTTGATGGCAAGAGAATAAGTAGCTCATCTAAGACATTTTGCACTATAGAGTCGTCTTCTTGTTTGGTACAATCTTCGGTTAGTGATACTTGGAAGTTGTGTTTGCCTTGGGCGGCTTTTGTGTTCCAGACAACCTTTTGGAAGCCTTGTATGTTGTAGCTAACAGCTGTTTCCTGTTTTTGGGTTATGTGCGGACGATACATGTGTGGAGAGGTGTTAATTGTGAGAATTGTTGGAAGTACTTGAATGTATCCATTGTAGCTACTTGGCTCAAGCTCTTTACACGTGCTGTGTGGTCTAGTGGCTAAAGTACTGGTGGCCTCGTTGTAGTATAGTGGTGCTGGAAGGTTTTTGATGTTGAGTTGATACTTGGAAGACCTGATTGTAATAAGATCAAGGAGCGAGGTAAGATCACCAAACATAAAGCTGTAATTGGTGACTTTAATATATGCTTGGTTAAAGATGCTATTGACAAGATATGTGTTTAGATACTTGGCTATGCATTTGAATGTGTTGATCATCTTTTCACTCGGATTTTGGTTACTAGCGGGCCTACGGCGGGGAGAATGAAATTTCCGGCCAAGTGGGTTGATAAATGGATAGTTGATGGCCGCTGATCCTACTTCGAGATCATTGAGTGATGGAAAGAGGAATTTAATGTTCAGCTCAAGTTCTTCGGATTTCCTGGGGTTGTTTAGGGTTTTAAGGTTTGCCGCATAGGTTGCTCTGGGTTTGTCAGTATTCTTGACTTGTATCTCGATTGTCAGTGCGTAACGGTTTTTGTTCGCGCCAGTAGAGGTCTCGTATATAATGATGCTAAAGCTATCTAGGTTCTCACAAGTCTCTAAACGCTCGAGAGTATTAACTGTTGTGTCCTGGCTCGAAGTCCAGCTAGGTGACCATTGGCTGTTTGTGGCCAATTGTGTACCTGACTGTAAGTTATTGCCCGTATATTGTGGATTTGCGCACCCTACTATCTTAATTGTGTGTAATATGGCATAAATAAGCCAGCCAATTATCATTCGCCTATCTCGAATTATTGTTGTCATTATTCACAAAGAAATTACAATCTGTTGATTTATGGACCAGGATTAATTTGAGTGTTCATATCCATTGCTATTTATTGAACTGGTGTACAAGCGGTTGTTATTGCGTACGGACTTATCATGGTCGGCCTATGAAACTTCAATATATTTATTGGTTTGGATCTTATTTATACTACTTTATGATCTCCTAAGATATCATCAAGCAAAAACAAGATCTTTGTTCAGTATGACCAACTAACTTCATACTTTGGTCCAACCTAATACCAACCTAACACCAACCTAATACCAATCCAATACTAATCCAATACCAACCTAACACCAACCTAATACCAACCCAATCTTAACCTAATACAATATACGGGATCGTACTTGCGGGTAAAAATTACTCTTTGGGTGGCCAAGCATTATCTGGTGCTAACCGTTATTATTTTGCAGCCAATCGCATGTAGGCTATTGCCACTATCGTATGTTAAAAAAACCCAATACGAGCCCTATTGATTTCGATCTGCTCTTGGTTAAAAGCTCAGTTTATTAGGCTAGTTAATGCCGATGGCTTGTTTGACACTTGTGAGCCATGAATGGAGAGTGCTGGGGTTAAGGTTAGATCCAACAACTTCAGTGAAGTCAGTGGCTAGTAAGTTATAAGAAGTAATCAACTTGATCGCGATTAAAATAGGTATTGTGATTGCCAAGACTATTATGAATATCTTAATGTACTTGGCCCGTTTTTCACTCTTGGTGTATCTATGGCTAGCACGATCCAAAGGAATTGCAAAGACATCGATTACCACACCAACCAGCAAAAGACAGGCTGCTGCAATAAGGACATGAGATTCGAGCAGCAGTCTGGCATCGAGAGTGTGGCCAAGTAAAACAAGAATGGGCACGGCCGCAGCCAATAAAAACGACAAGAAGTATAACAGGTGGTAGAGATGCCGGAGGATAGATATTTGCCCACGGACGGCGATAAGTTTGGCTAGAAGAGAAATAGATGTAGCCACAAACGAGATAAGCAACAGTCCAAACACAACCAGTTCTCTTGGGTTATAGCCCCAAACTAGCTGGCAATAGACAATGTGATAGGCAACCATTAGCAGCCAGCCGCAGAATAGCGCACCCAATAGAACTGCAGACATGACTCTTTTGTCTTGGTTCAGCGACTTGTTCGTCTGGAGTAGGTCTACATTGAGTACTAGAACAGCGGTGAGAACGGCTAGTATAATTATAGCAAATGGAGTGTATGGTGTTGTAATGGCTAGAGGAAGAATGGAGACTAATATGGAACCTGCTGCTGCGGAGACAACAAAGGCCAGAACAGGCCCAATCCAGGCCATAGCCGACAGCAGCATATTGCTACGGTTAGTGTCGGCCGACTCAAAGATGATACTGTCCATTGCATCTTTTGGCAGATACTTGGCTAGGATCTTCTTGAATGTGTTGATTTGTCTCTTATTATCTGCCTTGATTGTATAATATCCGCTTTTGAGGTGTTGTAGCGCAAATGCTGCCTCGAATTTACTTCGGCTGCCGCTAATACCCTCTGTAGTGTTGTATTGCTGTTTTTGATCTGGTGTGCTGAGCGTAATGGTTGATTCACTTGCGTCATAATCATACTCGATGTTATTCATATAAAGCTCGGCGTTGAGTGGGTGTAGATATCGTAGCAGTCGACTGTTTCTCAGGAGGTAGATATTTGGTTTGGTTGAAATTATGGTTTTGGCGTTTAAGAAGTGGAACCGGGCGTTGTGTTCTTCTTCACTAAGATTAAGCTCTTTGGCCGTGTGCTTGTTATAGTAGATTAACTCTAACATTTCGGCAAGCTCAACAAGATTACCTTTCTTTGCGAGCAGCCCAATTTGCTTGGTTATATTCTCAATAAAGTCCTTGTATGGTTTGCTGAATGGATCGTTAAGGTCCTGTAATCTGCTGTTGTTAGGCCCGCCTTCTAAGGCCACGAACATCATGGCAATGTTCAGAAAGTCTTGAGTTTGAAGATCTTCGCGCCAGTATATTTGCTTGAAGTATTTAGGATGGAAGAGGTTATACATTCTTCTAACGACATTATAAATATCTAGCGCCTTATAATTCTTGAATAGCAATAAGTAAAGGCTAAGACTCTTGCTTTTCTGAATGTACGGCCTAGTGTCGTGTAGATTCAGATCGGACGATCCTAAATACCGCTGGCACTGTTTTAAGATGGCATTATTAAAGGCCTCACTAGTTTGTTCAAGCTTAGTAATGGCGTTTATGGTTTTATCAATGTGATCAGCAATGCTGTTGTCGTTGATATCTTGTTGGTTTGGTTCAGTTAAAGAGCCCTTTCTACTTGCATTAGGTTGTATATAAGCTCTTTCAATCATCCTTCTTGCCTCTGCAATCGCTAGATCAACTGCATGATTTGATTTTGGTGTAGAGTCTGATGTGGTTTCCTCTGATATGTCCGCCTTAGATAACCGGCCGACCTTGCTTTGTAATTGTAGAACACACTCCTTTAACTCTCTCATAGCGACATCAAGTTGTTCTTTCTGCTCAGTTACTACGGCATTCATCCCTTGGGCCCAGTCGAAGCCAAGTTTTGCCAAGTTGGCCAAGCTAGGAACTGCACCATCAATGTCAACGTAAGCAGGAGCTGGATCAGCCCCGCTCGTGCTGTAGATGGCAGGACAGAAAAGAGCAACCAAAAGAAGCCAGTTTATCAATCTAGTTTTCATAATGGGGTAAATTTGATCCGTTAAAAAAATATATACAAGAACTTCCCAATTAGGAAATTTTCCCAATTAGGGAAATTGGGAGATGATCTCAAATCTGCCTAAAGCAGTTTATAACGCAAATTAGAATACAACCAAAATAAAATCAAAATACAATCAAAATAAAACCAAAGTCAACGGATCTTTATAAACTGTTGATATAGAGACGTGGCGGCCTCTTAGAGATGCTTACTCCACTGTGACGGCTTTGGCAAGGTTTCGGGGGAAGTCGGGGTTAAATCCAAGAGCTGTGGCTGTGTAGTAGGCAATGAGTTGGAGAGAGACAACATTGATGATTCCTTGGAGACAGTTAACGACCTTGGGAACAATAATTTGGGTGGTTTCATTGGTGAACAAGGAAGATGTTTGCTCAGTGCAGATAACCAAGGGGCGTCCGCCTCGAGATTTAACTTGTTCATACGCATTTTGAGATTGGCCTTGCGCACTATCGGTTAGAATCATAATGATGCACATTTTCTCATCGACTAGCGCCAATGATCCGTGCTTCAATTCACCGGCCCCAATGCCTTCACTGTGGATGTAGGAGATTTCCTTGATCTTAAGAGCCCCTTCTAAACAGGTGGCGAGCTGGTACCCGCGCCCGAGAAGAAGAATGCTCTGTTGCTTAGAGATGTACTCCTCGGAAATCTTCTTTAGGCCTGGCTCGTCTTTGAGAACAGCTGCAATGCCATCAGACAATTTAGCCATATCCGCAATGATCTGCTTTCTTCTCTCAAGCGTATGAATGGAGTCTTGGCCTATTTGAATAGCTAGCATAGCAAGGGCAATCGATTGACTGGTGTAGGCCTTGGTGCTGGCTACTCCAATTTCGGCTCCGGCATTAATATGGATACCACAGTCGGTTACTCGAGAAATGGAACTACCTACGACATTGGTAACTCCAACAGAAATAGCACCTTTCTCCTGAATGTACTTCAGAGCAATCAAAGAGTCCGCAGTTTCACCACTCTGACTTACAAAGACACAACAATCTGCTCTTGAGATTGGCGGTAGCCGATCATTGAAATCGCTAGCAATCTCAACCACACACGGAATCCCAGTTAGTTCTTCAAACAGACCTCGCATGTGCAGACAAGCAAAGTAACTGGTACCACAAGCAATAAAGACCAATCGACGTGCCTTTCTGATGTGCTCTAGATAAGTAGTGACTCCACCTAACGTAACCTTACTCTCTTCAAAGTTAACACGACCGCGCATGGTGTTGATAATGGTGTCTTTCTGCTCGTGGATTTCCTTAAGCATAAAGTGCGGGAAGTTGCCTTTCATGATACTATCCAGCTCAGCAGTAACCTCTTCTAGCGGTCGGAAAGAGTTGCCGCCCGGAATTGACCGGTTGATTTCTAGTCCTTTCTCGCTAACATGGGCAATGTCACCGTCTTCTAGGGTAAGAATTCGGTTGGTGTGCTCAATGATAGCAGCCGAGTCAGAACTGAAGAAAACCTCTAAAGACTTCTCAGGCGACTCTGATCCGTGCACAAAGACACGACTTACTGATCTCGACAAATCGACAGTACTACCGCCTACCTTTGGAGTTCCAACTGGAGTGTCAATTGAAATAGAAGGTTCTTTACAGTCAGCAGCAACATCTACACAATTCAGCTCAACAATTGAAGGACCAGCAACTCCAACCAGCAAGGGACTCCCTCGTCGAGCAGCCACCACCTCATTGGGGTAGTTTTTGCTAACGACTAAGAAGGCAAAGGCCCCTTCCAACTTATGAACTGTTTCGTTGACCAAGTCAGTAAAAGACATCTGCAAGCCACGTGATTTGCACTTGCGGTGAATGAACAGAATGAGTTGCGAAATGCACTCCGTGTCCGTGTCACTCTGGAAAACATATCCATGTTTCTGCAAGAGCTCCTTCAACGACTTCCAGTTGTTAATGATCCCGTTATGAACCACAAAGAACTCCTGATCCTGACTTGGAATCGGGTGACTGTTGACCTCAGAGGGTGTTCCGTGCGTAGCCCAACGCGTGTGAGATATACCCACATGGCAAGGCACAGCCGGAAGACTAGTCAGGTCTTTTGAGTCTTTTTCAATGTGATCAACCAACATTTGGACCTTACCGGTCTGCTTGTACATTTTGTAGTTGTCCTTTACCACTACAGCCAGGCCAGCAGAGTCGTATCCCCTGTACTCAAGTCTTTTAAGCCCAGTGCACAGCATGTCAATGATTTCCTTCTTTCCTTTCATCTTATTGTAGTTACAGTATCCGAATATTCCACACATACCACCCAACATGTTTGTCTATTTATAGGCAAGGATTTGTTAATCTGTCTATAATTGGTTATCAAATGTCACACTTAATTTGCCAGTTCAGGGTAGATTTCTCAGGATATAGATGGTTCCTAACACGCCTACCTATTTCCAACCACCCAAAATACACTCTCAGAACGGACAAATTAGAAAAGCCATTAGCATAGCCCAGTCACACCAACAACCCAAAACACCATCCAATTTCTTATCGGTGTTACATTACTACCACAACAACCACTTAATCCAATTAAATACAAACCAATACAATACAATACAAACCTAACTCTAACCCAACCAATAACACAATGCGAACTTCATAATTAATAAATTGAACCCAACTCAACCCAAACTTTACTAACCCAACCTAATACTAACTTAACCGAAACCAAGTTAAATTCGAAAATTAAACCAAACACAACCCATTCTAATATTTACCCGATTAGGAGATAAATTAAATTATTCTTTCTCTGGTATGCTGATCCTTACTTTAGGTCGATTTGTATTGTCTAACAAACGCTACACCAACTTAGCGATAGTATCTGTCTTTTTTGTGCTAGTAGCTTTATTATCTCTGTCTATCTCCCAAATCAAAAAGGAAGAGATACCTTGCCATAGCGATCAATCAATCAAAACCGGCGAATATGAAAAGGAAACAATCTCGCTAAGCCAGCAACGACTTACCAAGTACCGTGATCCAGACTACGAGAAGTACAACACAATTCTATTCACTGGTCGACCAAAGGATGCCTGGCTAATTTCACACATTCATCAAAATGTCCTAGAAATGCCCAACCGTACCAAAGGATACGACATTCAGGTGCCAGAGCCCAGTCCATTAGAAAGACTAGAATACTTCCTAGTGATCAAAATAGAAGAGAGTTCGACTCCTCAAGTCACTATAATTAACAAAGGCTGGCAAGTAAATTCAGATGTTTTATCCCTATTCACTAACAAGATGGACTTTAGTGCCAAAACCACGATTCGGTCTTTTGTCTTTCCAGATGTGGTGTTCAATCAATTAACCGTGCAGTGTGACCAGGAGAGTATTGCTAATCTACTTGATGTCCTCTGGAATATTAACAATCTTTATAGCCACTCTTTAGGCGTGTATTTCTACTGGGTGGTCGGAGATAAGGCCTTTTTCCTCTCTTCAATGGCCCCTTTAGTGATTGTGCTTGGTCTATTACTTCTCTTTATTGAGCTGATTGCTGGTGGCAGCTTTCAACCAACCATTGTGAAAGACCGAGCATACATTTTACTGATCCCATTCCTAGCACCCGGACTTAGTCTTTGGTTTGGATTAATGGAGCCTTTTGACCTTTTTATTCTCTACTCCTTACTGGTTCTTCTTCACTTCCCCACGGCACTCATACTGGCCTCGATCAAAATAGCTTGGTTTGGTTATTGGTTAATCTTATCTAGGGGAAGAATCTGTTTTATCCACAAAAGACACTTTGATCTCCTTTCACATGAACAAAGCAAGCAGCTATCCTGTAGCTCAGCTCAATAACTATAATTACTTTCAGTTCCAACAACCGCGCAACCATGAAGAGATTTCTCGAGTTATTTCTAAGGACTTATCATTTATTCAACGACTCAAAAGAATCCTTTGTTACCCCATTCGTTTCTTCATCAAGCAGCCCAGTAAGCACCATTACATCGAACTTATCCGCCCCCTTGGCTACTTGCTTGAAAAACGAGCTTATCTTAGCCACACACTCATCCTTAAAGCCACAGCAGCCCGCGATATTGCTCAGGAAAACATCGGTAACCCAACCATTCCCTACCAAATATATACTAATGATGAAATCTTTACATTTCTCAGCAATCACATCAACAAAAAGATTGGCCGGCTTGTTCCCAAAAAGAGTTTCCAGCAGATTATTCGGGCCGATTTCATTCCCACCTACTCACCCGAAGTCATCCAAAACCTCTTCTCTAGCTCCAATATCTACCGTCTCTATGCTCTCCATATGCTTATTCGTCTATTTGTTAGTATTGACGCCAATTCACATCTTAACAAAATCGATAGTACTCGACTCCTAGCCGCTTTTGTTCCTCTTTTCATGGGCGCTCGTTACACCTGCAACCTCAAAGCCAAGCGCCCCAAGGAATACCAGGCCCTGCTCAGCAAATGGCAGCAAATCCTCCGCTACGTCCCCAAAGAAAGGCACTGCCAGTAGTATTCAGATAGTCAATAGAGTTGCCCAGTAAATAAATCGCATAGTCTTTAACCCAATTAATCCAATTCAACACGATCTCATCCTAGTACCAACTTAACACCAACTTAGTATTAACTTAATGCCAACTTAATACCACCTTAATACTAACCCAACTCAATCTATACTAACTTAGTACCAACGCAATAATACTCTTTTTATGAGCATTCTTCAGAACGTACTGGCTACTATTAAGAAGCTTGATGAGTGCACAATTGCCATTGAAGACAACCACATTTATATCCTTGCTAGCACTCCCAGATATATTATTTCGGCTTCAACACCTATACCAGCTACCGGTTCTGGTCTTAAACACGTCTATGCAACCAGCGACTTGCTTGAGGCCATCAAACAGTGCACCCGTATATCTGAGGTTTCCGGCACTCTCAATTTCTACGAAGAAGTGCCCGGCTATACCACCAAAGCCACCATCCAGCCCAAAATCCATCCACCAATTCCAGCTCTACCAACTCTCACGTACACAACCACCATTCATCTCTCGCCAGATACACTCAAAAGAATCCTTCCTCTTCTCAAAGAAACCGAAGTCTCTCTCTATCTAGCCGAAGGCATTCTCTATCTAACTGCAGCCACTCCCGAAAGCGACGATATTCTCAAAATCACAGATATAACCATTCTTAAAGAGGGCACAGACAAAGTCACCATTCCCTTTGCCCTTCTCAAACTTCCTCTCCCCCTCCTCCCAGACTGCCAGCAAGTCTATTTCATGTATAACTCAACCCACTTTGCCCTCTTTCTTGCTATTACTCCAACTACACCCACCACATCCAACCAATCTCCAGCCAATGACTCACACTACACCATTCTCACCACCTCCCTCTCCGCATAGAATTCTATTCTCTACAAGTATTTGAATCACCCCACATACACCCCCCACATACACACACCAACTCAACTCAACTCAATTCAATTCAATTCAACTCCTCAGTGCAGATGACCCAAACTACTTAGCATGTCATAATTATAGCATGCCACAGCTATACCACCTAATACAACACGACCTCAAGACTCTCTCATTCGCCAATCATATTTACTCACCCACTACCCCACTTGTTATTGCGTTACCCAAACACAAACTAAACACACTCTCTCCAAACCAAACCCAATCCATCCAAGCCAACTCAACTCAACATGATAATAAAGAACACTTAAGGACAGTTTTATCAACTGAACCCATTCAGCCTAACCATATACCAACCATATACCACCCCAATATTATTGATCTTACATTTAGAATGCTTTAGACAAACAATCCATCCAATCTAATCCAACTAAAGAGTAAAAGATAACCACTTTATTAGCCAAAATATACCATCCCAGCACCCAACACTCAATCTAACCCCTTCCCAGACCCCATAAACCCCAACAAACTCTCGAAAACCCACCAAACACACCTAATTGGTTACTATCGAGTATTAGTTTGAATTTAATTTTCAGAAAATGGACATAGACATCCGGAAGAGTATGAATCATTACGCCGAACTAACTGATAACAAGAAAAGTCGAATTGAACACCGAAAAGTGGCCAGAGAAGCCTTAGAACTTAAAACAATGCCAATCGAAGAAAGAACACCCTCAGATATCGAGAAAAAAGCCGAATTACGCGATATCTTAGTTTTATGCACGGCCGAAAAGATAAGTATTCCCAAACTATTCAGTTTCTTAAAGGAAAGAGGAACCTATAAAGAAGTCAATATCTATTTTAGGGAGTGCATTCATATCATTATAGATCAGCCCGATCAAAAGTCTGGAGATGTCTTTATTTTCAAGTATGGAGTGACAGTCTTCTGGGGAATAGATAAGGAGACAACAGAAAGTATCTTATCACAACAGCAATTCTTTGAAGAGAAGAGTTACCCCCGTGAGTTAATGGAAAGAGAAGATTTCAAGTACGGCATAGTAGCTGATTGTGCTTCAATTGCCAATGACATCATCTATCTTGATAATGAATCAATTTACAACAAGATGATTATATCTAATGCCATGTCGCAAAGTGCCAAACTAGATGTATTTGAGCGGTATGTAGAAAGAACAGCCGAACGAATTAAAGGTCTACCCGATGAGATAGTATCTAAAGGCTTTACAACTCGGAAGAGAGGAGATATTGTAAAGATGAAAGGACTACTACATCGCTTAAAGTTTAACTTGAATTTAGTGACTAACATTTTGGACACACCTGAGATTCTTTGGTGCTATCCTAACTATACATCTCTCTACGAGACTTTTAAGCTCTACTTAGAGTTGAAAAGTCGGGCGGAAATTCTTAATCATAAGTGTGACGTCATTCATGAAATTCTTAATTTACTTTCCACCCATATCAATACCAAGTATGGCGAACGACTAGAAAAGATCATTATTTTCCTTATCTGTATCGAAACAGTTGTTTCTTTTGTCCATTTAGCCCTTTCTTGGTCTCGCTCATCATAAGATAAGGATTGTTTTGAGATTAGATATGGGTAGTTTTGAGATTAAGATAAGATAAGAATGAGTGACATATAATTAGAGAGGATGTAAGTCGAGTGATATAGGATATAGATTACCATTGGATGTTTTCGGCAACTTTGGCGGCATTGTCTATTATGTATTTGTCGAAGAGGGCCAGCATCCAATTAGAGGTTGATTTGGCTCGCTTTCGGGTTTCGGGCTCGCGATCATGACCGGGGAAGGATCTTTTACTGGGCTCTTCTGGGGAGGGCTTAGTAAAGCCGGGAGGGGCATTTTTAACTACCTCTTCAGCTTCAAGAAGAAGATTCCTTCTCTTTCGGAGATCGTTATCCCAGCAGAGTTTAGCACCCGCTCGAGGATGGCTGGTTTTGAGATACTGAAGGAACTTTAGGGCACAGCGAGAATCATGAAATAAAAGAACGGTTTCATTACCCTTTTTAGTCTGTTTACTAATCTCTTGGGGATTATCTGGCATATATTCAGTTGTACCTAGATAAGAGACTGAACCTTGGTTCTTCTCTTCAGTACAGGCATCACTACCTTTGGGAATTTCACATCTGGCAATCGAAAACTTAATCACGATCGAACTATCTAAGCTACTTAACTCCTCTTTAGCCCGAACAGCTGCTTGTAAGTCATAGAAGACCACAAAAAGAACCGAATACTTATTATGCATAGTGAAATGTTCTTTAACTTCGCCGGCCTTTTGACAGATAGACAAAAGATCTTGATGGGACTTAGATTTGCTAAAGTTGGTTAGTAGAAGAGTACGAGTTATGTCAGAGGCCATTTTTTTCTGCATGATTAGTGGTCTCATTAAAAACATCAGGGGTAAAGTCGTTTTAGTCCATCAACAAGATCTAGTCCTTAGTCCCGAACTCGAAACAATTGAGGAATTATGTAGTTTAGACGTCCGGGGGAGAGAGGGCTTAGTAGATGAAGTTTGTGAGGCTTTTGGTATCGAAATTTCAAGTTTGCCAGTCGTTTTGGTTTATGGTGAAATTTTCGGACTAGAAGACATAGATAAGATAGAGGCTAAAATTAAAGCTAAAGGTGAAGAAGAGTTAGAGGCGGCTAAGGAATTAGTGCGCAAAGAAAAGCGAGTAGTATTTATTAAAGGTACTCCCGACCAGCCCCAATGTCGGTTTACACGGCAACTCTTGCAAATTCTAGCTGAAGTCGGTTTACAACCATCTGACTATGTAAGTGTTAACATACTAGCTAGTCAACGAGTTAGAGAAGGAATGAAGGAGTATGCTAATTGGCCAACTTATCCTCAAATCTATATTGATCATGAATTCGTCGGGGGTCTAGATGTTCTCAAGGGAGAGCAAGATAAGGGTACTCTGGCCCAATATCTTAAGTTAAGTTTAGATTGATTTGGTTTGATTGGGTTGGGTTGAGTTTGATTGGGGTTGGTTTGATTGGGTTGAGTTTGGACTAGTATAATTTAGTAGTGTACTAGACTGGTACTAGTAACAAGAATAAACTTATCTTGACTTATCTGGTACTAGTAATAAGAATAAACTCATCTTGACTTATTTAGATGTGTTATTTACATATAAGATAGTTATAAATAAGATAGCTACATAAGATTTTTAGATAGCTATTTACTGAAATACCATCTAGATCTGCTACTTACAGAGATGTCATCTAGATATGTTATTTACAGAAATACTATCTCAATTCAACTCAACTCAACTCAATTCAACTCAAATCTAATTTATTATGATATTATGGTATTATGATATGTCATTAGAGAGTAGTACAAACTGGTCATACTTATCACCAGTCACTAAAATATGAGCAACTACTCGGCCAAATGAGTACCCCGGCCAAACTTGACACTCAAACAATCCCTGTAATACTTCTACTCTAATCTGCCGGGGAATGATATATACTCTTAAATCAGCCTTACTCTCATAAATCTCTTCTAACTCAAACAATCGACAAGCATTAATCATCTCTAAATCAGACATGTCCTTATAATCCACTCCACCCCAAGGAGGAGAAGCAACCACTACATCGTACTTACTCCTTAACTTCCCTACTAACTCCCTACCAAATACATCATCATGCCATAATTTAGCCTTAACATCCATTCCACATACTTCACTAATATTATGACGTAAATACTTAACCTTCTGATAATCATACTCAACTGCCTCAACCTCAAACCCAAACTTAAGCAGAGATATACTATTCCCTCCTACACCCGCAAACAAATCCAAAACAACCAACTTATCTCCCAACAAATCACTAATCCCCATTGAAATCCGATCGGCCAAATCTTGCGGAGTTATACTATACCAAGACTCTTCATCCAGCAAAAGACTATTCCCAGCCGTAAAAGGCAATATTTTATCCGATTTCCGCACGTACTTCCAAACAGGACTTGATACTAATACTACCTCCTCCACTAACCAAGAACCAATCTGCCGTCTTATAATTCGCTCTTTACTATCTAACCCTCTACTAAATACCATACAAAAAGAATTTACTCCGCGTTTATTGGCCGGGGGACTAGCTCAGAGGTAGAGCGCTCGCTTAGCATGCGAGAGGTGCCGGGATCGATACCCGGGTTCTCCACTTCTTTTTATATTTTAATAAAACCTCCACTAATAACACCTTGCTTTAAGTACTTCTGAGTTAGCTTAGTATTCAGTTAGTATTCAGATTAGTATTCAGATAGGTTGGTTTAGTATTCAGATAGTATTTAGATAATAAAATAACAACTTACTCTATAGATAATAAAATAACAACTTACTTTATTATACTAACTCAATACGAAGTTCATCTTAACTAGTTCATACTCTATTAAAGACCTATTTCAATATGACATAATCGGGTTAGTATTGAATGTAGGTGAGATATGACGTCATAATTAAATTTGAATAATTTCAGCTACTACTGGATTAAATTGGGCTAAAATTTGATATAACTCGAATTCTCTACTAACTCAATACTAACTCAATACTAGTGCGATCAGTTAATGAATAAGTGACTTAGTGTGATAAAAGAGTAGTGGTTATGTAACAACTTACTTTATAGAGATACTAAAGTAATCAAAATACTTTATAGAGATAACAAAGTAATCAAAATACTAATAGAGATACTAAAGCAATCAAAATACTTAATAGATAACAAAATAACAACTTACTTTATAGAGATAACAAAATAATCAAAATAAGAATCAAAAAATAAGATAACAATTTACTTGCCTTCTCGACCTTCCAGAAGTAGCTTGCAATACTTAACTAACTCCATGCACTCTAACTCACTCCCTTCTAGCCTCTTTTTTAAGCCACTAATTTCTAGCTCTAAGATCTTGCGTTGTTTTCGTTCGTACTCCAGTTGAGCTTCTACCTTGATTAGTTCTAAGACCTTCAACTCAACTGCTTCTTTTTCTCGTTCTTTTTCTCGATATCTTATCTCTTCTTTTAATGTTAGAATTCTTTTGAGTCTTAATACTTCGTTATTTGGTTCTTCTGATAAGGATTCTTCTTCTGTTTGTATTGGTGTACTATCTGGTATAGCTTGACAAAGTGAAATCTGGCTTATCTCTCTTTCAAAGTCTTCTTCCTCATTAAGTAATAAACTTTGTTGATTCTTATCTTCTGATTCTTGTTTGTCCTCTGATAAGTGAATCCCTTCAGTTTCTACTTCTAAATCTACTTCTTCTTTCTTACTTTTAAATAAGCCACTTAGATTGCCAATTGAAGTGTTTAACATTTGGATAAGACTACTTTTCTCCTTTTGGGACATGAAAAGAAAAAGAGGAATCAGACTTAAAGAGATTTGAAATCGGAAGGGTTATTGATTGCTTTTTATTTTATAGGTCAGTTACTGATTGGTTGGTTTGAGTGGTTTGAGTGGGTTGGTTGGGTTGGGGAGAGTTGGATTGGGATTGGGGAGAGTTAGATTGGGGAGAGTTGGTATTGGTGGGGGAATCAGATACAATGATGGCAACTAGTTCTTCTAGAGTGCTGGGTTGTGTATCTTGGGGTATATCTATTAGAACAACTGGATGGTCTTCTGGCTTGTCCTGGTCAATAAATTCGGGTTGGGTTGAATTGGTGTTGGTGTTGTTAGGAGTGTCGGTGGGGGTGGTGTTGTTGGTGGTGTTGGGAGTAAGTGCTGATTGCTTTTGGGAGACTTCTAGGGGGTGGTACGTTTCGGTTTCGGCTAGTTCTTCACCAAGGACCAGGAGTTTGTAGGTACAGGTGGAACTTTCAATGGGGCCGGTGAGATGGAGAGGATCTTGGTTGCTCTTGTAAGTAACCATGCCTGTCCAGTTCTTGCCGCGGCAAATATCACACTTGTCTCCTTTGATGTAAGTTTGAGTGAGTTCGCCTTTCTTGTCAAATGTACCATAGTACTCGCCGACTTTAACGGGACCGTCTTCAGTTTCTAAAGTAATTGAGTCAAAAGGAACCATAGTTAGTTTGGTGGTTCCTTCTTTATGCTCTAAAGTACGTCCTTGAATACTTAGTAGTCGGTCGACCTTATCAATGAGCTCAATGTTCTTATTAAGTTCTTTTACTTTGGGACCTACTCTGAATTGGTACTCATCTTGGCCGACTTTGAGTTCTTCGATTGGATTGGGATTATGATTGGGAGTTTCACTACTATCTGGTGTATTATTTGGAGTTTCTGTAAGGACATCACATCTTTTGACCATAAAGTATTCTCGGTCGAATCTTTCGGGATCTAGTACTTGGGTTGCTTTAACTAAACCCAATACTAATCCAGTAATAACTAGAAAGTTAAACACCACTAACTTATGACGCATTAAATTTAAAAGAATAGAATGGGTTATGTATTTAAGTTGTGTTTAGTATTGAGTTGAGTTTAGTATTGTGTTTAGTATTGAGTTGGGTTTGTGGTGGAATTGGGTTGAGTTTGTGGTGGAATTGGGTTGGGTTAATATTGGGTTGATAAGAATCTAATTGGGTTGGTGTTCGGATGTTTTTGAAATTACAAGTATAAGTGACTAAATGGATTTGAGTTGAGTTGGAATTAAATATCTCTTTATTTGCTAGTTGAGTTAGTACTGGTTTGGTTTGGATTGGGTTGGTATTGGGTTGGGTTGGGTAGGTGGGGACTGGGTTAAAGATGGCTGCTTATGCTAATAAGATGAGATGGTTTTGGTATGTTGGGTGGTTTTGATTTTATATTGCTGGTGGCACTTAATTTGCTTAATTGTGGTTAATTATGCTTTTAATCTTAATATGTCTTAATAGAATGGAGTTATTTACAGTTTACTATGGTGCTAGCTTGAAACTAGTCTAATTGGTAATGATTAGATAGACTGAGTACGTTATCTTTTTGAGTTTTCCATAAATATTATAAAATTGCCTAATATGGTAATTTTTGGGTTATAATACAACTGATTTTTTAGTGTAATATGATCATTCAAAAGAGAATTAATAGATTTATTCTAGGCCTAGTGTTTGGCTTGTGCTTTTGTGTTTTAAACACTCGAGCAACCAATTGTAGATTGAGTGATTTAGACTTTCCTTCATTGGGTAGTGAGGGCTCCATTGTGAATGGGGAATTTGATGATGTAGGCATAAACTTAACTTTACAAGAGTTTGCAAAGCATCGATACGACTCACCTTGGGCACAAATGGTACTAAATGCGTATGAAAACGGAGATATCAAGTATAATAGTGACCAGAGAACTTTCTTCTGGGACAAAGGCAACCAAGGATCTTCTGATGCTGCGATAGATAAAGACAATATATTGGCTTTGAAAGATTCAGACGACGGTGATATGATTGCTGATTTTCGAACCAAAGGGTTTTGGCAGTTGGCAGGACTTCACGACGAGGACGCCACAACAATTGCTAGTCTACTCCCTACACTGCACAATCTAGTTAAATCTAAGGATATAGAATCCACAACCCAAAACCTTTCAGCAGAAGACATACCAGATATTATTATGCTATACCATCTTTTCTATGAGCAATCTATTGATTCAAACCAGTCAACCCCAAGATCTAACAGTACAACTACCGATGAATTTGTTACAAATCTCACTAATTATCTCCAGAAAAAAGAGAACCAGAATGCTGTTGATCTACTAGAATTAGTCTACGCCAAGGAGTTATTACCTTCTGGTTGCAAGAGAAAACTTACCCTTCCTACTAACGCTCTTGTTCAAAAATATCCACATCTTAAGCCTCAGGGCAATAGTGAGTTACTCCGTTTGTTCCATCCAATCAATGCTAATATTTACGAGTGCAATGTTAATTACATGTATGATGCCAATACTCTCAATTTTGTTATGTTATCTGCTAGTACAGATATCACCACTGATGAATATGCCCCCAAATTTACCTTTGAGGATGCCGTTCGTTTGAGATATGCCCCCGAGTATAAGTACAACGTAGTGGCCAGGGATTTACACTATGCTCTTCTGATGGCCCAAGTAAAAGAATGTCGGGACTCTGACATAAACCCACATTTCGAGCATCATCCTAAGAAAGACATAAAATCATTTAAAGACTACAACGATTGGGCGCATTCATCGTATAACAGCATAGATTCTCTACCCGATGACGCATCGATAATGCCGCCAACACTCACACCTCTACAAAAGACACCAGTACCCAACAACGATAATTTCCAAACAGTTCAATGGACAGTCGATAGTAGCACACAGGATACTAAACAAAGCTCACCAGCTATACAGACCGGACCACAACATTCAAGCCAAGCAAACCAGGCAGCAACTCAATATAATGACGCACTAGATAACCTGTCCTTGCCATCTATAGTAGCACCAGAACTACCTCGATCCGATAGTTATGACGAACCAGTCCAACAACCAAACAAAGCTCCTAAGGCGGACAATCACGTCAAATCAGAATCAGAAGCCAATGAACATGACTTGAACGAACAAAAACCAGATACTACTCATTATGACCCGGTAGATAGCAGATCGCCATCACCTTCTCCAACCCTAACATCCGAGGGGAAGTGTGATTCATTAGCAACAAGCACACATACCTTGGTGGAAGATTCAATACCAACAAACGCAAGCATGTCATTGGGCAATGACTGGTCATTGGTATCTAACCAAGAAAGACGTGCATCTTTAACAAGCGCGTCCTCCGAAACAAGTCAGGGATTTGTATTGGTTGATAAGCAAGAAGCATTAGCCTCTGAAGAAAACACCGATCAAAAGTCGAGCGAGAATACGGCCACCTCTACAGTTTATGACCAAGTGCCTCAAACCGCCGAATATGACCAACCAACAGATACGACAGAGCCTAATACGACGTATGAAGTACCGGGTTCTCATCTTAACCCAAAGCCAACCCAACCATCACCCAATGGCCATATAGAAGGTTCATCTCTAGCTTCAGCCACTAATCGCAACAGTGGCTTTTACGAGCAACCAAACACAACCCGGGCACAAGATGGACATCAAATGAGATCAGATCCAATGCCTCGGCGGGCATCAGGCTCAACAGTCGATTCGCTGTCATTACCAGTTCGGATAATACCAGACAAAACGGATAACAAGATAAGAACCCACAAGATTATTGCCATTTGCGGCGGTGCATTACTGGGCTTAGCCCAAGCTTCAATTATTCTATATGACAATCTGCATCCAATCGGCCCCAATATAGTCTATATAATTCCTTTTAACATACTGGCGTTAGGTCTGATAATTCCTCTTTTACTGGCCCTTTACAACACTGCTAAGCCTACCAAAGAAAGAAAGCCCCAAAATCTGCCGAGCTACTATATTGTCCTAGTCTCTATAACCATGATCTTCATCATTCTTTGGGTTTTCTTTACATTACATCTGACCACCTACTTAGCCGCCAATGTCATATCACTATGTCATGCCATGATTCTATTCTACCAAGCCATAGCTATACTCTCAGTAGTTGGCTGTCTTATCACCCGAAAGGCATGCAATCTTCGTCAACCTATTATAGCCAAACACACTTATTGGGTACTCTACGTCCTAGCTGCAATATTCGCTTTCACAGTTCCTTTCCTCTCTATTATTGGGCTTACACATGAAGCCAAACTCGTTCTTCATTCCCAAATTCTAGTCATTGCGGCTCTTCTCTTCGCCGCCGGCGCTTTTATTCATAACTGTAGCCACTGGTCTATCAAGACTCCAGCAACCGACAATTCCCCACGTTTCAAAACAAGAGTCCTCACTACAATAGCCGTCTCCGCTCTACTAGCCACCGCCCTCATTGCCACCATATACTTCTCCAGCTCCTACAACACACTACCCAACTCTAACCTACCCAACACACCATAAGATACTCAATAATAACCCAATACCAACCTACACCAAATAAAGCCGGCAACTTATTTTTAGAGACCAACGTATGTCTATCTTATCTAATATCAACGTATATCTATCTTATCTAACACTAACTCAATTTATTTCATCATCAGTACTCAATAACTAATAGAGTAATTCAATCCAAGTAGAATATTAACATAACCCAAGTAGAACATCATCAGCACTCAATAACTAATAGAGTAACTCAATACCCAACAGCAACTCAATAACTAATAGAGTAACTCAATACTAATACTAATACAATACATAAATATATACTATCACTTAGTTGTTTATTGACTTAACACTTAAATTAAGTAGAGATAAGATTGAGTAGAGATGAGTAGGATTGAATAGAGATAAGATTGAATAGAGATAAAAATAAGTAGAGATATCAATTCAAAATCAAAATCAAAAATTTCCAAAATCTTATCTAGCATTGTTAGCTAGTGATTTTTTAAGATTGATACGCATGTAAGTCCGTAAGTGCCGCATTCGACCCGTTCCTTCAGCCTGTCTACGTCCAGCCTTAATCGATCCCGGATTTCGCCATCTTCTCTCTGGATAAGCACAAGAAGCACATTGCCTCTTCTGCTTATGGAAAGACTCATTACCACATCTAATACACTGGATATGGTTCCTCTTATTACGCTTACCAAAACTTGACGTTCCTTTAGACATTCTTCACTAGGGTACAAAAAAAAGAAAATTTAAAGAACCGATGCAAAACGAAAGACTTAATAGTAATAGTAACGAATTAGTTAGTGAAAGTTTACTTAGGACTAAAATAGATAAGAAAGATAAGAAAAGTTTAGGATTAGTTAGTAGTACTGAAACAAGTACAAATAACAGTAGGGGAGTCTATTTAGCCAGTAGAATAGCAGCTGGAGAAGTAGTTTATCCCTATGACTTTAAAGAGACGATGAGTATTAGTGCTATCTTAAGTTGGGTTAGTAGTTTAGAGATAAGTATGGAGAAGGAAAAGGAGATGGGAATCTTAAGTCAGCAAGAAGTAAAGACTGGAGGTCGAGTTATAGCTATTAGATCTATTGGGAAGATAACCTTTATTAAGATAGAATCAATGGGAATGAGTATCCAAGTCATCAGAAAAGAGAAAGTCAGAGATATTTACAGGGGTGATATTTTAGGAGTGAGTGGATCTTTAGGGTACAGTAATAAGGGTGAGTTAAGTATTATGGCTAGTGAATTACGTGTACTTTCACCTTGTGTTCATACTTATCCTACTGAACATTATGGATTGAAAGATACGGAGTTGTGTTATCGGCAGAGATATTTAGACTTGGTTTTGAACAAAGTAAGTTTAGAGAGGTTTATCGTTCGTAATAAGGTGGTGAAGTATATTAGGTCGTTTTTAGATCAAAGAGGATTCTTAGAAGTAGAGACACCGATGATGCAAGTAGTGGCGGGTGGAGCAGCAGCCAAACCATTCAAGACTTTACTGAACGAAATGGGGTTGGATTTGAACATGAGAATTTCACCGGAATTGTTCTTGAAGACTTTATTGGTTGGCGGGATTCCTCGGGTTTATGAGTTGGGTCGGCAATTCCGGAATGAAGGAATTGATGCAACGCATAATCCTGAGTTTACTACTTGTGAGTTTTACATGGCCTATGCTGATTATAATGATGTCTTGCACTTAACGGAAGAAATGATAGTAGGAATGGTTGAGAGTTTATTTGGGAGTCGGCAGGTGAAGTACTTGGTGGAAGGTCGAGAAGGGAAAGAGGCTATGGAAGTATCTTTGGATTTCAGTACGCCATTTAAGTGCATAGATATTCTATCGGGACTAAGTGCTGAATTGGGCGTGGAAATTACAGGGGAAATCTTGGAGCAGGAAGAGGGTCGGATCTTATTGGACAGGTTATGCACTGAACGGGGAGTGATGTGTCGGGCGCCAAGGACTACTGCTCGGTTACTGGATAAGTTAGTAGGTGAGTATTTGGAGAGTAAGTGTGTGAATCCGACGTTTTTGATGAACCATCCCAAGATTATGTCACCGTTAGCTAAAGAGCATCGGAGTAGGAAGGGAGTGACGGAAAGGTTTGAGTTATTTATGCTGGGTAAGGAAGTCTGTAATGCGTATACGGAGTTGAATGATCCATTTGATCAACGGCAAAGGTTTGAGCAGCAGGCCCGGGATAAATCAGCGGGTGATGAGGAAGCGCAAGAGATTGATGAGGACTTCTGTACGGCATTGGAGTATGGTATGCCGCCGGCGGGTGGCTGGGGGATTGGTATTGACCGACTAGTAATGATGCTAACTGGAGCACCTAATATTCGGGATGTGCTTTTCTTCCCTACTATGCGACCGAAGTAGTAGGCGGAAGTCCGGGCTAGGCTAATAAATGCGTTAAGCTAAAGATATGTATTGTATTGAGTTAAGTTAAGTTAAGTTAGGTTTATGGTGAGTTAAGTTGACCTTAGTTGACCTTAGTTGATGTTTAATGAGTGTGGATGGGTGGGGGGTTAGTTACTGTCTTTTAGTGATTGGATGGGAGAGGTATGTTCTGGTGGTAGAGAGTTCATAGAGGCCGTGGGTGCTATTTTTCCTAGGGGATACTAACTTAATGCTACCTCTCGTGTCTTGGGTATGGGATAGTGTCTTTCAACCAAACATACTCAACTAAAGACCGATTTTGAAGTGGACGGATTGGTATTGGGTTAGTATAGTTTAGGCTTTCTTTATCGTACATCAGCTTGAGACTGTTTACATACTCATAATCTAAATGCTAATCTGAGATTGTGATTTCTAATTCGAGATTTTAATCGCACTCGCTGCGATCAGTGCCAGGCCGATAAGTATTACAGAACTTTGCCCCTGTAGATAACTCACTTTAAAGTGGAGACCGGCGAGGACACCATACTTCCCTAAACTAACCCAACTAATACATGCTCTATTAAAGAGATTACTTGAGGCGGGCACGGGTGCCATTTATTAAGTAAATATGGAGGTGAGTGAAAGGATGACGTCATATTACGTTAGTGTTAGTAGTACTAAGTAGTAATTAGGTTGAGTTGGATTGGTATTGGGTTAATTGGATTAGTATTAGGTAGTGGTCGTATGACGGTGTTGCACTAACCCAATTGGATATAGCCAAGTTGATACTCATTGGGTTGATTAAAATAATGTGTTGGTCTGGGTTGGTGTTTGTTTTAACTTGTTATATCTTAACTTCATTATGCGATTCTAGACGGGGGTTGAGGTTAAGGTTGGGTTAGCGTAGGGATAGAAATATACATCTAAATAGACGGTTTTATTATCTAATATAGTATAATGGGGTGGCCTAGGTTGGCCGAATTTCAAGCTAATCTGATACTGCTATAATCACGGAATAAGGTAATTTTTCCCATCATCTAGGCAACCATCAGATCGCATGATGAAATCAGTATAATATAAGTATATATTAAAGTTGAATACTCGGAACTATGGACATATACAGATACATAACAATAGTAACAGTTGGGTTATTAAGTTGGTTAGGTTTAGGTAAACATACTACATCAGCCCAAGACTCGAATGACCCTTATCAGAGTTGCGCTCACGTTAATAACAACACTCTGCTTTTTGATCGTGAAATTAGAAGCCTTGATGCCATAGACTGTGACAATCGCCTGCGGAATGGGACTAAAACCAGTATACAAGACGTTAAGACGTCACAGCAAGAAGAATGGATGGAAAGTTTCCGAACTCCAAACCCTAATACCAATGATACGAAGCCGTGGACTTCTCTATACCAAAACTGCCCGCAGACGAGTTACCCTAACAACTCCACATGCAAATACGATATCGAGCTTCGTAGTATGATGGATGGTTTCAGTACTGTAACACAGAACATTCAACGTCTCAGACCTTTGATAAGAGAACTTATTAATAAGATTGACAAAACGCTTGAATCTGATACAGCGGAATCCCTCTATGCCTCTCTTTCCGACGAGGATGTCAAAACTACCATAGGGTGGATGGAGAGTGAACTAAATGAAGCCGACCCAAATCTCTTACATTCCCTTATTATGCCTCCGCGCCAGCCTAGCGAGAGTATTGAGCAGTTATGGCCTGTTGCTAGGGAAAGTACAATTCAGACATGGAAAGATCACATTCTCGATGCTTCTTCTAGCACTCCTGTAGACATAAGCTCGAGCAACCAATGCACCTACCGCCAGCTTTATCACTATCTACATGCTTTCATAAGAACACAAACCGCCGTGACTGATCTATTGAGGTTTCAAACTTCTCCAATGGGATTGTATTACGAGTTAAATGTTACTGGTAATACTATGGCCGTGCCATTGGATGAGTTTACAAAGCTTAATGTTATTCAGCTCTTTAAAACCAAGACTTCTAAAGATATCATCAAGGAACTAAGCAAGTATACAAAGAGCCAGTTCGATGATATCTATACAAATTCCACGCGCAAGGCCGACCATAAGTTATTAACTATTAAGTCTACACTTGAATCCCTTAAAGACGGTAAGTATTACAAAGATAAGACATCTGATAGTGACAGCTTGCGGGTGTTTTTCAATGCGATTGAAAGTCATCTAACAAATATAACAACAAGCCTTGAGCACACAACCTTTATGTCCAACAATGACACTTTAACAACTAATTGGCCGTCTGCAACAAACTTAAGGCAATGTGTTATGGCCCTCGAGACTATGCAAATCCCCCAACCTAACCCTCCTAACCCCCCACCTGCCCAGAATGGCGCAACCGGTTCTACTAAGGATGCCACAAAGAAAATGGATGACAATGATGACTCAAATAAAACGGATGGCAAGGATGCCACGAAGAAAATGGATGACAATGATGACTCAAATAAAACGGATGGCAAGGATGCCACAAAGAAAATGGATGACAATGATGACTCAAATAAAACGGGTGGCAAGGATCCTAACCCTCCTAACCCCCCGCCTGCCCCTACTAATAACAACACCAGCCCACCCTCAACAACACTTAGCCCTATACCCCCCACCACCCAAGCTAATCCTACACCCCCCACCACCCAAGCTAATCCTATATCCCCCACCACCCAAGCTAATCCTACACCTTTCACCAAAAAGCCAAGCAACCCGATGATCAATACGCCTCCCCCCAATGACCATAAACTAACCCCTAAGCCTATACAAAATCATGCCCAAAGCATCTTTTCACCTATTCAAGTTGTCTATTCTCTACTAGCAGCTGCTAGTCTTAGTATTGTTAGCATCTGGTCCCATTAAGCAACCAACTAGCCTCAATAAATGACCAATGATGCAATTAACAAGTGTAATATGTAAAACACTAATCTTTCTACCGCTATCCTAAGAATCAATGTCAAACAATAACCTAGTAAGATATTTATTGACTTGGTCTAGTATTCCTATTGGCCCGGGCTAGTATTAACTATATTTCAGAGAGATCTTCAATTAGTGAGGAATAAAGAGCACCCATATCGGTTTCCATGCAATGCTTTTGCCTAAGGTGATGTGCCGCGACACTTTTTAGAATACTTGTGACATTCTTAGTGGCCCACTCAGAGGCTTTTATTAGGCATGGCGATCTTTTAGTGCAGGACGTGTCTGGTAACTCTGTTCCCAGGCCTTCTATCAGCCATCGGAACTCTTTGGTCTCTGGATAGTCCAAACTAGCCACTAAATCAAGGAAGCGCAAAGCAGAGAAGGCAATTGCACAATGCCGGTTAGGTTCGGTTTTCCGGATGACTGAAATTGCTTCACTAACCGCGATAGGCCAAAGATTCACCAGTGCACTGCTTGGCATCTTAATGCATAGGGCTCGGCATAGTGAATAGGCTTCAGCAACCAGCAGTTTAATTCCTGATGAACTTGAGAAGATTTCTGAAACCAACCCAAGCATGCCAGAAATCTCCTGGTGGTACTCAGCGAAAGGAGCGCCTAAAATCATAAACCGCAGCCGTTTGATAAGGTTAGCCCGGCCAATAATATCAGACTCACGAACAAAGAATCCTGTACTACTTGCACGCGACACAAGATCAAGTACTTTTTCTGGATCCACCAAGTAAGCCGTGATTTCAATTTTGGTTTTGATATTGGGCAAGCTATCCTTGAAAAACTTATCTGATAAGATAAGATCATAAAAATCTCGCTTCCAAATTCTATTATCACTCATTCGCGAAACCAGCCGGCAAACATCTAGAGTCTTACTAAACAAACTACATTCGGTTGGTAGGCGGAAACACGGCACAATCAGAGCGTTCCAAATACCAACTGTATCAACAGCAATTGCATTATCTAGACTCGTTTGAATGACCAGCTCAACTGCAGTAAGCATTTCCAGTGCAATTTCGTACCGTTTTTCCTCTTCAGAGATATCAGCGACTCGTTTAATGTTCACTCGACTGCTCATCGCAATGCACACGTCAAGTATTTGGGCACCAAAGCTAGCGTTCTCTGGTGAGAGACACTCTTTGTAGAATTCACTGAGAAAGGCAAGAACACCGGTATCTTCTAGTTTAATACGTGCCTGGCTCAGAATCATCCCTAGGATACTGAATGCTTTGGAGGTAGAACTAAAGCTGTGTTTGGGAATGATCGTGATCCATTTACGAAGTAGCTTCCATTTAGCCGGACTAGTACCTGCCAGCAATACTGAGCAAAAGACCGCTTCCGTTGTACTGCTATCAACAATTCCCAAATATTCAACATCACTAATTGAAAAGGTGCGAATTAAGGCCTCAGCAAATACTTCCGGGGTTCTAGCGTACACCTCAGTGGCTCGCGCTCTTATCTGTTCAAGAATATGAATGGCCGCACTCTCTGAAATCTGGATATTATGCCGGGACTTTTCCTGTTCAATCTTACGGGCCACAAACCCATAGACCAGCATAAACCGACCCAAAGCCCAAAGAATCTCTTCTTCCTTCCAGTAGATCTTACAGGACTCACTAGCAACCAACTCCATATTAGAAACAAGACTCGAGGCCGATTTAGGTTGAGGTTTAGAACTAGTCGTTAATGGCCGATCACCACTATAATCGTTTTCTTTACTAAGACCAATACTATAGGCCAGGATCTTATCCATTCTACCGATTTCGTTCCAGTCGCCTTCCAGAATCATAAGTGAAGATGCCTCAAGAATCTCCAGAGTAAGAGACAGAAGACCTTCCTTAAGCACAAAATCAACAATCTCACTACGAACTTCTTTCTTTTCACAGTAAACACCAATAACCACCGAATAGAACCCTTCAATACCCAGTAAGACTGCCGTTTTCATTCTTTCCCAAACAGTACCAGGACTAAGATTAGAAATCAACTGATCCATGATTTCCGGCTGAACAGTCGCTCGTTCGCCTTGTTCTAACAATCTCTGGCAGGCACTAAGTCCTCGATTGACTATTTCCTCCCAGTGCATCTCAATATTAGTGATAGTATGCGTACGATGTGGAGCACAGATTAGCACCAGCAGAAGCGAGAAAAGTGCTAAACGTAAGTCTTTGCTACTCTTACCCAGTACAAACTCTATCTCTGGAGCTGCACTCTCTATCTCAGCCAGGAAAAGAGCATTCTCACTAGTAATAAACCGACGAAACCGTTTTGAGTACCTAAGCATAGCCGCTAGAATCCGAACTCCAGCCAAAATCTTGTTATAATCACAATCAACCAAAACCACTTCTTTTTCGCCTCTTTCCACGCGCTGCTTCAAATACTCCCAAACAATCTCCAGAACTTCCCGATAGCACCGTAAACGAACTAAAAAGAGCTTAGCCCGCCGCTGCTTGAGATAAGAATTCCTTTCCTCATAGAAAGATAGAAGATACCCTAATAAGGTCTTATCTAAAACTTTAACTTGACCAGTCGATTTCTCCACCAAGGCAAAGGCCCGATCAAGTAGTTTATCGTGTTCCTGGTTCTTATAGTCTTTACTAAGATTTGTATCTAATAAGTGTTTGATTAGTGCCGCTTGAATCTGTCCTTTAAGAACATTATCATAAGCCCAAAAGAGTTCAGCATTATCAGCTAGTTTTAAAGTAATACTGAAGATTTGTGCTTCACTCTTAGCCCGTCGTTCAAACCAACCCATACCCAATACACTTCCCTCCTTAAGCATAGCCACTACCAGACGATGAATACCAGCCGGTATTTCCTCTAAAGCCCAAACTCTACCTACCATTTCCCCAATCATATCGGCAAAAAGTAAACCAGATCGCCAACCTTCACTTTGTCCATCATGTAAATAAACCCTAAGAATACTCAGTATAAGAGTCAGTCCATCCTCTACTTTACAGTCCTTTAAAAACTCCTGAGCCGCCTGGCCTATCTCTTCCGACTCATCCTGACCGGGTTTAATTAAGGAAATCCAAGATACGGGAATATCCTTCCCTCTAATTCGACTGGCAATAATCCGAGGTAATTCCTTCTCTCTAGCCACTTCATCTAACAACCCTAAAACTATCGCTTTCTCAACCACATAATTATCAGCTGTAGCCAGAGCTTGCCAGACTAAACGACGATTCACCACTGAAAAGAACTCTTTAGCATACTTGTTGTTCTCTTTGGCCACCGACTTAAGCAGCCATTGCATTGAATACAGAAGAACTTCCTGGACATTTTCAACACTTTGATGTAAAGCCGTTAAGACTTTAAAGTAGATAGAGGGATTCTTAGCATAAAGTACTTCTAAAGTCCGAAATAAACCAGTACTCCCTTCTTTCTCATGCGCTAAAATCTCAATCCATTGTTGTACGCGTTTTTGTAACGATATTTCCTTTTGGAGTAATAGTTTCATAACGGAAAGAGTTATCTCTTGACTTTCAATAAGTGATCCTTCCGATTTCCATTGGACTAACAAATCAAAAGCCTTACGAACTGTAACAATCTCTGTACATTCTAAAGCCCTAGCAAACTCATTCCTTATCTTAGGACGCAAACCCAAAGGAATATTAGCTAAATAAACAATACAACCAGGCACTAACTCATTACCTAATCCTAAAATCTCCCAAACTGCATCCACTACTCTTTCTTTACCTGCTCGTCGTTCTAAGGCCTCCAGTACTCCATTCGCCCCATTCCGAGTCTCACTACTCTCCTCTTCCAAGCCCATAATAACACTCAGGACAATATGCCGGCAAAGTTTAGCCGACTTCTCACCCAGAGTTTCAACAATCATTTTAATAGTCTCAATGTAAACCGGCATAGTTGATAGATTAGCATGGCCATAAAAGGAAAATAAGCCCAAACAAAGAATCTCAATATCTTCCGCCAGTCCGTCCGGTGGAAGTTTTGAAAGAATAATCCGATAAACTCCCATAGCTTTAGTATGGACACCAGCGGGTAAGGCCGGATTAAGACACTGGCTTAAACGCCGATAGAATAAATCGGGAGTAGGAATATAACTAAACTTGTACATTCGCAAAATACTCTCTAAACCAGTGAGATACGTCACTAAATCGGACCATTCTGTGGCCGTGCGAAAAAGGTCAAGTTGACGTTCAATAGCCGTCGCGAATTTCCTTTCACTCATCCAATAATAACAAAAGAAATAGATTAAATTGGTTTAATCGCCTCTTAAGGGGTACTCGTCTCTAGTAATCGACTGGTTAGTGATCACATAGACCTCAAGTGCATCGCCAGTTTTTACATCGGTTTCGGCCACTCCATTGTAAAGATCGCGAATAAGAGATACAGTTTCAGCGGCAGTTGGAGTGTACTCTTTGCCTTCAGCACAGTTCCAGTTGTTCCTTTTGATCCAGGAGTCTAGCAGGGGTTGGAGCATTCTTTCACCCGATCCGTTACAACGGCAAGGTGTCTCCTGGTAGGAACCAACTGGATCGTAGGAGTAGACCTTAGGAATACCCTGGGGAGTAAAGCCAGAAAGGCAGCAGTAGGCGTACTTGAAGAAGAAACGGTTGCTGTAGAGAATCATATGAAGGGCGGCGGCTGCCTGGGCAATAGGCATAGGTCGGGAAAAGTTGAACTCGTAGTTTTCAATGGTGTACTTAAGTTGGGCATAAACTGAACGGGCATCAGCATAGAAGCCAGTAGCACTCAGGACCATATTGCCGATAGTGAAGATTTTAGTGGCCTTACGGGTGTTGATATGGTATTCTGCTGAGTGCCGAGTATCAGCAGCCACTACACAGAAGTCTCGGCCTAAAATAGATAAAGAAGTTCCAGAGTTATCACTATATAGATTATCGGATCCGCCATGACGTATAATACCGGGTTGAACTTCCATACAAACAAAAAAACAAGTCGTAGTATAGTTTAGATTGAATTAGAATTGTGAAACTAAGTATGGTGTTCAATATACGACATTCTTTGTTTGTATTGGGTTGGGTTGGGTTGGGTTAGGGTTAGGTTAGGGTTAGGTTAGGGTTAGGTTGTATTGGGTTGGGTTAGGTTTGGTTGGGTTAGGTTAGTTACATTGCAGTATGTTTCATTGGGGATAAGTATAAGTTAGTACATCTTTATTATTCATCAGTAGGTCTAGGAACAAGAGATCAATTAATTGGGCTAGAGATTGGTAGAGTACAACTCCAAACTATAAATACAGTATGTATTTGGCTTAAGAAGATACCAACTTAATACTAATACTTTATTCAATAAATCCTGCGAGAGTGTCTAATATGACTATGTTTTGGTTTAGTATGGATTGAAAACGGCATGTGGCCACTCAATAACACGATACTAAGGTATGGTTGGTTGGGGGTGTTAGTATTGGGTTAGATATGTTTGGGCCGTTATAATAATAAATGTGGATGAAGATAGAGTTTTGAATTACCTTGACTTTTATTTAGAAGGTATTGGGTAGGATTATTTTGGTCCTATTAATGACGTCATCACTGGTTAAGACTTGATACCTTTTTTAAGTGCGGCGGTAATACTCTCGGCCTCTTTTAAGATAGTACCAGCTCCCCAGATAATTAAATCGGTGGCTTGATTAGCAAGATCGGCGTTCAGCTTGGCATTAAATGCTCGGGTGTAAATACCCTTTTCATAATAGACGTAGGCCATGATAAGTGCAACTAGGATAGATAAAATAACGATAGAAGTAAATCTGATCAGTACGGCTTGGGTCAGACCTTGACGACCTTTGAGGTTAATGGCGTTCCAGACTGTTGCGCCCATTGCTAAAACTATAGTACCTAGAAGAAGAGCCTCCTTGAGGATGTAGACAGCATTTGGACTAATAATGAAGTTGAGTTGGAGGTAAGTGAATAAGAAGGTCAATATTAGAGCCAGAATAGCGGCAATGCTAACACTGGCCAAGACTACGGTTTTAAACTCTTTACTCTTCTCGTGGGAGTCAAGTAGAGACATGCGGGTGTGGAAGAAGAATCCGACTGCGAGACCAATGGTCATAATGGCAGCGACTATGCAAGTGACTGGCAAGTTAAGATATAGCTTGTCATCAATGGCACCTTGTTTGGCACAGACGATCATTGCGGAGACAAAGGCGGACACGACTACGGCGGCTGCTAAACTAGATAAAATTGAGCTAACAATAGACACTGTTTGCGTAGTAGAAGTAATCTCAGCTACATCACGTCTCTTAAGTGCTATCATAGGTTAAAATTTACTTTTCTTTATATAGACCACAAAATTACCTAATTAGGTAATGAAAAGTTTGCATATGACCTCATTACCTAATTAGGTAATTTTATTTTTGTATGGTCAGTAATTAACGACATGGGCTAAATGTCCTAAATAAAAGTTGCTGATTTAACAAGCTCTATCTCTTTTATAGGCCAGTATATACTTTCAAAACATATATATCGCCTTCAAATTATACCAATCGTGATAAATCAGTTCTTACTGGCATTATGGGCTAGTATGAGTTGATAAGGTCTCTAGTATTAGATTGATTAACTCTATGGCATTGGGTTAGTATTATTGGGTTAGTATTGGGTTGGGCTGGGCTGGGCTGGTGATGCAATGTATACTGTTTCGTCCCTCTTAATTAAGCTGGACGGCTTTGGGATATTTGAATTGGGATTGTCTATAGTGTTTGTTGGATTGAGAGTTATGATGACTAGGTGTCGTGTTGGTGAATGGCTACACGCCGTTGCTGATCAATACTAAACCAATACTAAACCAAGACATGATCATATTAGACACTCTTCGGATTTATTGAATAAAGTATCAACGTATTAGATATGACGTGTACAACAACTAATTGAGTTAATGGCTTCTTAAACCCAGCTCAACCGAATACTAACCCAATGGAACTGCTGATGAAGAATAAAGATGCGCTAGCTTGTGCTTATCCCCAATGAAACACACTGCAATGCAACTAACCTAATACTAACCTAATACTAACCCAATACAAGCAAAGCATGTCGTATATTGAGCACCACGCTGGGCTTATAGTGAGTTACTCAAAAAGGCAGCTATACCATCAAAGTACTTCAGAAGCCAATCGGAGATATAATCTACAACAAAGGACCGACCATAAATGCTCTTTTCATAATGAATGCAACCCATAGCCAACAAACCAAGAACAACTAGGCCGCCCAATAGAAGGTATCGGATTGCCAATGCATTCTTTCCTAAACGTCCCTTGAAGGTAATGTTATGCCAGATTCCTACGACCATGGACAACAGGACAGCTCCCAATAGAAAGACTGTCTTGAGTATGTAGATAAGATCGAAATCAATCTTGTGAATAAGTTGTAGATAAATGAATAGAGAAGTTAAGAAACTAGCTATAATAACAGTAATAATAGTGCCAATCCATAAGACAGCTCTACTTGTTTTAGTGTTCTGGTAACAGTCAAATAATGACCAGCCAGACTCAATAAAGAAGACAGCCGCGAAACTAATGATTGCAAAGACTCCTACTATACATGTCAGTCCCAAGTTGGCCATTGGCAGATCTGTATCAACCATTTTTTTGAAGCATACAATCCCCGCTGAGACCAAAACAGATATAATTGTGGCTGCTGATAAGCCGAATATGATTGGAGTAGCAATAGCCGCCGCTTCCATTCTATGAGTAGACTGGAGATCATCGTGTTTTATTAGTATCTTTTTCATATCTTGAATTTTCTTCTCCTTTATATAATCCGTTAATTTCCTAATCCGGTAAGACCAAAGTTCAAAATAAATAAATCAGTCGCAGTTCCTATTAAGTTGAGTTTGGTTGGTGTTAGTATTGGTGTTAGGCTGGTGTTAGGCTGGTGTTGAGTTGGTGTTAGACATGCAACACTTACGATGTTCTTTTATAAGCCGCCACTGAATAGAAAGCAGAATACAATCGATGTGAGTAGATTTAAAAGAAGACTATATGATCTTGTGATAGGTGATATTGTGATAAGTGATCTGTAAGATGAGAAAATAAGAACAAACCAACCCAATACTAAACCAATCTAATTGTTTATTCCTTTTAAGATAAGCATTCTAGTCCCATCCCTTCTACCACTCTCAGTCACAACCATCTTCATATCCTACTTAACTCAACACAACCCAACTCTACTTAACCCTACTCAACTCAACCCAACACTACTTAACCCTACTCAACTCAATACTGCTATTGGTAAACGGAAAGACATAAAGAAGGTAGGGTTTAGAAGTTTGGGATGAAAGGACAAACCCAACAACTCCCTCTCGTTTACGGAACATAACTGAACCCGGATGAATCCAAACATGGTTTTTCGAGTATAAGTGAAGATAAGACCCACTACCAGCACTTTCGGCCACACGAGTTAAGAAAGCCGCAGATGCAGCTTGATGCAACCTATCTGCTACCGACTCTGAAAGCAAAACACACAATCTAGCCGTCATAGATATATCTCGGCCGCCCAATACTTCCTCTCTCCAGTCCATTCTACCCTTCTTAGGTAAGACCAAAGCAAGCAACTGCTGATAAATCCGTTCAGCATTTCTCATCTCCCGATAAGATACACCCAAGCCAGTACAGAAACTCTTCTGTCTATCCAAAGGAGTCTGCAGAAACGAGAAGAACAATGCCGCACATAAAGTCAAATCAGAAGCTTTTTCTCTATCTTCCACCACACTTTCCATTACAGCCGCCTCACTACCCGGCGGCAGCACAAACAATGCACCAGTTGATAACAAAGCACAGACTCCAGCCACCGTACAAGATACTCCTAAAGTCCGACCAGCCACCAAAAACTTCCCTAAAGAGGGTGAAAGAGGAAACCCAGCTACTTTCCGACCCATTTCAGTTATCTTTTTCTCCTTATCAATCAATCCCAAAACAAACAACTCTCTTAATGAGCCCAGAATAGCACTCTCCCCAGGATTAGCCAAGAAATCAAAACTACCAGGATCTTTATCCATCCTTATCAAAGATAAACATACGGCCGAAATATCAGTCCTTAAAATCTCCGGAGCCGCTTGTTTATCCATCATTTGGTACGTATTTTGTGTATACAAGCGATAGCACACACCAGGCCCAGTTCTACCCGCCCGACCAGCTCGTTGATCCGCCGAAGATTTAGATATCTTAACAATACCTAAGCTTTCTACCCCTTCCCGGGAAACACTTATCTTCTCCACACCACAATCTATCACCCAACGCACTCCCGGAATAGTCAAACTCGTCTCAGCTATATTAGTAGATAGAATTACTCTAATTCGCTGACTCCTAGCCGTGAATATCCTTTTCTGTTCGGCATCTTCCAAACTCGAGTGCAACTTAAGTACTTCAACTTCACTCAATAAAGAGACCGACTTATAAAGATCATCAATATCTTCCAATCCCGATAAAAAGACCAAAATCACTCCTCTATTCTTCTTCCGTCCCACCCCAACCATTCCCAGACCATTATCTTGATTTAGCTTTAGTATCTCAGCCGATGATTGCGATAGGGAAGAAGAGGTTGATTTTGATTTTGATTCTGAGACTGACTTACTAGTCTTACTCTCTTTAAATATCAAATCAATGGGATTGTTATCTTTACTTGCGTTATCTCTACTTGCGTTACTACTACTTGCATTATCTCTACTTGACTTACTACTACTATTACTATTACTATTACTTAAGACATTATCTAATTCGTACCCCCTTACTATCATAGATATGACCGTTTGGGCCATTTGAATGTAATCAGAAGATCGCCGGGGTAAGTACTTAATCTCAACTGGAAACTTCCGCCCGGGAATTTCCACCACCTCTACTTCAATCCCATCCCTAGTAAAGTACTCTTTAATCATCTCTAACTCAGCCGTAGCACTCATTAACACCAACCTTAAACTCTTAATCCTATCCTTCAACAGTCCTAATAATACATCAGTCCTAACCGTACGTTCATGCACTTCATCCACCACCACCGTATCAAGCACTCGACCACCTTCCAACCACTTCAATAAAACTCCATCCGTTACATACTTTATCCTAGTCCGTTTCGTACAAGTATCTTTAAACCGAATAGCATACCCCACTCCATCCACCCCCAACTCAGGACTTAAACTACTCACCCGCCGAGCCAAAGCCACCGCCGCCACCCTCCGCGGCTGAGTCACCACCACCTCCCAGCCACTACGTAGGTTAGTATTACTTGGGTTAGTATTGCTATTACTTAACTTACTATAACTACTTAGTTCATTATTACTACTTGACTTACTAGTACTACTTAAACTATTACTATTACTATGACTAGTACTTGACTTACTACTACTTAAACTATTACTACTTGACTTACTATTACTATTACTACTTAAACTATTACTATTACTACTTAAACTATTACTATTAGACTGTGTCTCTACTAAACTATTACTACTTAAACTACACTGCTTCTCTACTAAACTTAACTTCTCTCCACTTAAACTTAACTTATCTCCACTCAACCCATACGTATCTAATAATAACTTAGGAACTTCTGTCGACTTACCAGAACCCGTCTCTCCTACAATAACAAGTACTTTCCCTCTAACGGCCTTTTCTTTCACTTGATTAACTATCGCATCGATTAAACAACTTACTAACATCTTTTTTTTAGACCCCTAGTATGAAGAAAGCTAAGACTAATTATGCCTATACACCAGAAAACAATGATAAGGCAGTTAAAGCCGCAATGAAGAATGCTAAAATCAGTTATAAGAACACTCATCAGACAGTTACTATTTTACGTGGAATGTGGCTAACTAGTGCTATTAAGTATATGGATGACGTATTAGCCCGACAAAGATGTATTCCCATGCGGAAGTACAATGGAGGAGTCCCAAGAAGAGCCCAAGCTAAAGAGTTTGGAGTTCTACAAGGTAGATGGCCGGAAAAGAGTGTAACTCAAGTCAAGTCTATCTTGAAGAGTATGCAGAAGACAGCAGTTCATAAGGGTTTAGATGCTTCTAAGATGAAGATCATGCATGCTCAAGTGCAAAGAGCTCCTATCATTCATAATAGGACTTATCGTGCTCATGGTCGAGTCACTGCCTGGAACAAGTCGCCTTGCCATATAGAACTAGTTGCTGAAGAGCAATTAGGAGCTATTCCGGCTGAGAAGCCAGTAGCAAGTATTGCCCAGAAGAGGGCTGAGCGTAGGAATTGGGCTTTGGCTGTTTGTGGTCGGTTGCGGGCGCCTAGTAAGAAGAGGCTGTAATGGGTCGAGGGGCAATAAAGAGTAAATTCTGGATTTGTTTTTGATATGTATGTACGAGTTAATGGTTTAAAAGTTGGGTATAGTTGGCGGTGGCGAGTTTCTGAGGGTATTTGTGGGATATGTCAGCAGGCTTTTGAGCAAATGTGTCCGGAATGTGTGCATCCTTTGGATTGTGTTCCGGCTTTAGGCGAGTGTAAGCACTACTACCACCAGCACTGTATTCAGAAATGGCAGACAAGTAGTAGTTTATGCCCGATTTGTCGTGCCGAATGGGCAGAAGTATCTGGGTTATAAATTAGCTTAGTATTCAGTTTAGTATAGAATTGGTTTAGTATACGTTAACTTTACTTTACTTTACTTGACTTAATGTATACGTAACTTAATGTATACGTAACTTAATGTATGCGTAACTTAACTTATTTAGTATTTGCGTTGGTTTGGTTGTTGGTTGGATTTGGGTTTGGATTGGTTGGGGTTGGGTTGGGTGGGGTAAGAGTTGCTGGTTGGGGCTTAGTAAGAGTGTGATGGTTTTGTTCTCGTCTTATTTGGGTTGGTTGGGTGGGTTTGATCGGAGGAATGTTGCGATTGAGTGGGTGGTTTTTGGAATGAGTGAGTTATTTTGCGATTGCATGAATGGATTTGCGGTTACAATAAATGAGTTATTAGATTTAGTTAAGTATGTTGAGTATGTTAAGTTCAATTTATTGGATTGGGTTGGGATTGGGATTTGGTATGTAGTTGTGGGGTGGCTTTGGTATTGCTGCTCTTCTTTCGGATAAATAACTTGATTGCTGGTCTAGTAATTTGGTATGTCGTTTGACTTATCTAATAAAAGGTACCGCTGGTTACATGGAACTCTTATTGGGTTGGTGTAGTACTGTCATACGACCACTACCCATTTCCTACAACGATCACCCTGGTCACTACTTACTACTTAGTACTACTAACCAATGCTAACACTAACGCAATACTAACACTAACGTAATCCTCTCTTAACTCAACCATATTTACTTAATAACTGACAATACTTATCTCAAGGAATATCTGTGATAGAGTATGCATTGGATTGGCATTGAATTGACATGGATTTAGGTACCACAATAACTTAACATCAACATAACTTTACTTAACTTAACTTAACACTAACACATAACTTTACTTAACACTATCACATAACTTTACTTAACTTAATACCAGCTTACTCATATTGTTCCTCGAGTGGCATGATGGTATAGTAGCATTTGTTTGGACTGGGTCGGTTGTGAGGTTGTTGGGTGGGGTTGGGCGGTAAGCGGGTAGGTGTCTGGAATCTAAAGTCCTTGATTAATTGCCTGATGTCTTCATTGATGTTTGGGCCGGGAGAATGTTGGGTTATGTCTGGGTTTAGGCCTTTTGCTGTGCGTTTGATATTGGAAAGAATGATTGGCTTGATGTGGCCGAAAAGGTCGGGGTAGATGTCTTCTTGGTATAGAATGCATGGAGGATGTAATGGGTTCGGCAATAATGATGGGCAAGTGCTTGGATTTTGGGTGTCTGCATTATTTACCTTTGGAGGGTTGAAGGGATTGTAGATGAACCGGTCGATGACCTCGGCTGGGCTGCGTTCAGTTGGAAGGTGGTAGGTGGGGATGTAGGTTTGGGTGGTTGTATTATAGATGTAGGGTTCGTCGCACATGGGGCATTTTGGGTTATCGTTGCGGCCGGGGATAAGGCAGTAGGAACAGAAGATGTGCTGGCAAGGGAGGATGTAGAGGAATTGGCGCTCGATACGCCTAGTTTGGCTGCATATGAAGCTGATGTCTTTATAGGGTTTGCAAAATAGACGTTGGGCTTGTTGGATTAGTGAGCAAGATGGGCCTTGGCAGAGCCTAGAGAGGCGGTTGTAATAGTTGCTGATGGGGACATCGGCGACCCCTCCAATTGCGCAAGCTCCGGGGCCGACGACTCTGGTTATTTCGATAATGAAAGAGGCTTTTCGGGCGGATTGGAAGAAGGCTTGGTCAGCATGGATGCATTCGAGTTTGGGCTGGAATGTGACCATTTGGGTGGCAGGCGGGGTTGTGGTTGTATTTGGAGTTAGGTAGTAGTTAAAGGTTATTTGGAAGGGTACGCGGGGTATGGAGCTGATGAGAACGTATGAACTGTTGGTGAGAAGAAATTGGGTTTTGTCGTGGATATTGAAGCCTTGGAAAGTAATGGAGATAAGGTTGGGGAAAAAGAAAGAGGCCCAATGTAGAATTGCGGTGAAGTAATTAAGTGGATTCTTGTCGGATTGGTTGGTGGTGGCGATGGGTTTAAGAATGAGGTGTTTGGTAGTGGGTGGGTTGTTGAGAGAAATGAAGTAGGATTGGAGTTGGGTTATCTGCTCCAGATCCGGAAGATCGGTTGGAGCCGTGTTTATGAGAATGGTATCTTGGTTGAGTATCGGCATATACCAGTCTTGGAGTTGTTTGAAAATTGCTTGGGTGGTTGGGTGGTTGGGCTTCTTGTGGGCTTCGATGATGACGCGGATGATGGATATTCGGCATAGTTGGTGCAGGGCGATCTTATTGGGATTAAGAGGAATGAGGTCTTCGTTGATGGTTTGTTTTAGATTGGAAGTAGTTAGAACAATGTGGCATATAGGGAAGCAGGCGGCTGCTGGTGCAGCTCGGGTGAGGTATTTGATCCAGTTGGTTGTGATTGTGAGACATTTGAGATTGGGTTGCATGAAAATAGAGAACCAGATGTCATGAGCTTTTCCGGCGAGCTCTGGGACTTCGTCTATCGATATTTGGGTCAGATTTGCCAAATCGAGGGCCGTTAGTGTGGCTTCATAACCGCTCGCTTTGGTAGTAACGAACTTGATATGCTGGGTGCACAAACTGACCTTTTCTTTATCTGTGAAATAGAGGTTGTTTAGATCGAGATTCTTCAAACAGAGGACGGTTTCGGGCCTTAGTGGGCCGAGCTGTGAGATTAGCTCGCTAAAATGGCTATCTATATCTTTGGTTTTTGCATTTGAACAATAGATATGAACCTCTTGATAAATAATGTTGACGGGGACTGAGAATGTGTAGCATGTCTGGGCTAAAAGATCATAGATCTCTACCAACTGATCTCGTTTGCTTAAATCAAAACTAAGTCGAGGAACTAGAAGACCGGTTGGATGGTATGGATGCTCATGGGGTCTTGTCGATGGTAGCATGGTTATGTTGAGTTTGCGGTACATCTCAATTAGATTATCATTATAAGAAGCTCGATCGTCGGACTGTTTGAGGACTTCGATGGGCTCGTTTTTGTTGAGTCCTTTTAGTAGATTGACCCGGTCATTTACGAACTCCTCTTCGTCACTGGCCAGCATGGGGAAGAATAGTGCTTGCTTGTTCTTGTTGTTGTTGCAATTATCAAAGACTATTTGGGTGCAGACAAGGGCTAGTTTATCTCGTTTGATCTGTTTATAGTCATTGCATAGTTTATATTCAGTAAGGCCCAATTCCTTAAGGACCTGTTTGGTGGAGGTAAGAAAGACGTTAAGCAGATGGACTTCTTTTAGCTCGATTTGCACTTTGGCCAAGGATAAGAGGAAGATTCTATAGTCAATGACTAGAACTTGAAGCTTGGATTGATTAATAAACGCGATTAAAGTAGATGTAGGGATATAGTACGTACAACCGCTTTTAAGGGCGCAGAAGGCGCCACTGTAATATAAAGTAAGTTTGTCAAATGTGTTTATCTTGTCCTTTATCTGCAGTATGTATACAGGTGCCTCTAACTTGGCCATATAGAGGTTTAGTGTGCTGTTGGGTGCCCAGCAAATACTGTCGCAATTAAGACGAGATTGGCCGCTATAGGAACTGATGTTCAGCTCAATTATTGGTTTCAGATTGTAGAGGTATGTAAGAATAGAAATTGATGTGTGGGTCTGGGTTAGTGTTATTTTGGTTGGCGGTAAGCCAAGGTTCTTTTCCAACAAACAAATTGAGTCGAGCGGTCGGGGGAGCACCCCAGTGATTTGCTGAATATTAATCATCTGCGCATCTACTCGGTACAGTATTCGCAGTATAATTGATATGATTTTGCCGCCTTTATCACCTGTGCCGATATCGAACTTGTCAACAATTAAATGGTTTATCTCAATACGACCGATATGATCTATGCCCTTGCTTATACTATCGAGTCTTTTAGTTGATTCTTTGCTTAGACTTGGCAGAATGACCGTTGGATTGGTTATTTGGACTGCTGGCAGAGGATCTTTAAAACGTGTCTTCCATACAATTACTATCTCTTCGGTTTCGTTACTAACTCGGGCTTTCAATCCACACATAAGAGAGCCCAATGTTGACTCAACGTCCACCTGATCTATCTCTTTTTTAACCACTTTACCCTTACCTTTCTTGGTATGTTTAGGCTTACAAATAACCGACATAAATAGAAGACTGCTTAGTATTAGCAAGAACCAGAGTCTAATAACTTTCAACTTATACCCTAGCATAAATGTTAGATAAAAAGAAATGCTATCTCTATAAGAAACTATCTTGTTTAATAAATCAATAAGACCCAAAACCATCTGAACCATAAACTCAAGCCAACCCCACACTAACCCAATACTAAACCCAGAATACTAACTCAATCAACGGCTAGACTTCTAATTAGCAGATTCCACTCTAAATTTTTATGCTTCTAGTTCTCGTTCTAGCTGGTGGTTTTCCAGCTACACCCCAAGTTATAAGCGATCTGCTTGTTTTCCTATCTGTTTATGCTAATACTAGTGAAAGTAGTAAGTTACAAGTGGTACAAGGTTGTAAAGTTATTTATGACTCTTCATCTGATTTCGAAGAAACATTGAGTAGTAAGATCGAAAGAGGGTTTGCAGCTGAAGAAGGAAGTATTGCTAATGATTTTGGGTACTCATTGCTTTTGGCGCATCGAGCGGGTTCGGGTCGGATTCTTCTATTTGCTTCGGGCGGTTCGCCACAGAACTTCATTAAGTGTGCCTTTACTGCTAGGAAGTGGGGTATTGCCGTTGATTGTGTGACTCCGGCATCTGGGTTTGTTTCAGAAATGGCTGGAGTCTTAAGAGGTCGGTGTTTTTCGCTGGAAGCAGGAGGATCTCTATTTGGATTCCTGCTAGGGTTGTTAGGTCTTGATTTTGGTGATTATGTTGAAGATAGTGGTACTCGTGTTTGTAGCTGTCATGGGAATGAAATCAAGGTTGGGTTTTTGTGTCCTATCTGCTTGGGGCTTTACTGTAAATTTGTGCCTCTCTGTCGTCACTGTAAGACTAAGTTTGTCTTTTGATTGATTGCGTTGATTTGATTAAGTTGATGTTTTGATTAGATTAGATTTGACTATCTTGAGTTAGAGGTGAATAAAGCTGTTTATAGAATATTTGGGTTTATCTTAAGTTTCAAGCTATGTTAACTGTCGTGTTGGTAAGTGGCTACACGCCGTTTTCAACTAGTAGCACTTCTACTAAGACATAATCATATTAGACACTCTTCAGATTTATTGAATGAAGTAGCAACTGGGTATGTCGTGTACAATACCTAATTGAGTTGATATCTTCTTAAACTCAACACAACCCACTACTAACCCATTGGAACTGCTGATGAAGCATAAAGATGTGTTGACTTATGCTTATCTCCTATGAAACATACTGTAATGTAACTAACACAATCCTAACCTAAGCCTAACACGTATTCATAAGCAAAGAATAGTATTGGATGCTCTAAACACCACACTAAGTGTTTCAATAATAGTCAACTAAATGCTAAAGTAAACCGAGTAAATTTAGAAATCGTAGACTTTGGGTTTTCTTTTAGAATTATGATATGATATGGGTTAGTATTAAATTGAGTTGAGTGGGTTGAGTGGAGTTAGGTTGGGTGGAATTTGGTTTGGCGGTTTGAGGTGCTTGTAGCAAAGACATTCACTATTGGGTTGGTGTAGTGCTGTCATACGATCACTATCCAAGACTAACACAATACCAACACAATACTAACACAAGACTAACAGTAACACGTAATTTAACCAATTTGGTTTATTATATCTACACTAACTTAATATGACGTCATCTTATTCCAACTCAACTGTATTTACTCAATAAATGGTACCCACAGATATATCAAGGAATCTCTTTAATAGAGTGTGTTTTGGTTAAGTATTGAGTTAGGGTTGGATTAGTACAATAAATAAACGAACAATGTGGTAAGAATGGGTCCAGTTTATTAGGTTGGATTGGGCTTGGTTGAACTAGCATTTTAATACGATGCAATACCCGAGAAAAGTCCTATTAAACCGGAACTCCAAGGGCTGTGTTGAAATCGGTGGCGGTTTGGATGTAAAGTCCTAACAGGGCATAACATGTGTGATATACATCGGCTTTAGGGACAGCTCGAGGAACACTGCTCAGTCCACCGGTTGGTACTTGGCAATTAGATAGTGTATAAGTAATTAGCCCCTGTACAGATACCGGCCGCATATTAAGCATCTTCATTGAACCGCCTACCCAAAAGTTATAGCAAGAATCAACTCCCTTATTCGTTCGGCCATTGAACCCCTTGGAAATAAAGTCCTGGCGTTGATACAGCCACTCTGATAGAAGCTCTTCATTTGGAATTGGCTTTCCTAAAATCTGCAGTGATGCTATCGCGCAGTAAGTATATCCACCATGTGCTTCTTCACCAGGCAGAGCCGCAAACCCACCTTCATATGTCTGGGCATCACAAATCCAACCATACGCCTCCGCAAACAAACCCTTCCCAGTTTCAGTCTCCAATGGACTTAATTGCGAGTTACTGTCTATCTTATCTGAGAACAGAAGCGAATACGAGGCAATCGCACAGTAAAGCGAACGAGCATCGACCTCTCCATTCACGTGCATAGTAAATCCACCATCGACTTTCATTTCTTGAATAAACTGCACAACCTTATCCTTATCTACTTCCTCTAAACGTCCCATGATTCGCAAGAAGGATAAGGCCGCATATGTATTTCCTAAGTTTGGCGGCAGATCGCGATTTCCACCAAATCCTGTAGTTTGATAAGATAAAATGTCAGTTGCTAATCGGTCTAAGACTTGCAAATATCCACTCTTCAGTTCCTCTTTGAACTTTTCCTTGCCCAGTAGTACATAAAATCCGTTCACTAACCATGTGCTTACCCATGGTACAATTACGCTTAGATGCGAGCTAATAGGTTTAGTTAATTGGTCCTTTAAATAGGCTAAATGGCCCTCAATATTCAAAGGCACATCTTTCTTATTTCTAATTAGCATGTTCAATGTGTAGGCATCAATAGAAGTTTGGGTTTCGATTCCTTCGTCGGTGTACATTAAGAAAAAACAGAGGTTCCGTTGGTATTGTATTGGGTTAGGCGCGATTGAGGCGGGAAATATACTGATCGGGTTGGCTGACGACTAAGAATAAAGATTGGTTTGGTAATACTTTGGTTTCTGATCTTAGAACAATGGGGTAGGTGTTTTTCTTGTAGTCATGAGTTGGTGTGGGTTAGTATTGGGTTGGGTTGGGTTGGGTTATGTTAGAGTAGGGTGGGTTGAGTTGAGTTGAATTAAGTAGTAGTTAGTAGTAGATCTAATTACATATGTTGAGAGTAGAAGGTGTGACTTAATGTGATAATGTTATTGAAGTTGGATGGAAGGAATCTCGTATAATTAAGGAGTGGAGTTCATCTGTTTTTGGTTGGAGGGGCTTGGTTGCCAGTCTTTTTGGGTGCGGTATTGGTTGGATTGGCTTTGGCTGGGGTTAGCGGACTTTCGGCTATGGGGTTAGTTTGGGCTAGTATTGGTTTCTGGGTTGGCAGATGGATGGCTAGAAGCAGTAGTATCTCCTGTAGTATTAGGAGTACTGGGCGTATCTAGGGCGACGATGCATTGATTTAAGCTCTGTGCTTGTGGCCAGTCAGTTTGGGTTAGACTATCTCTAATTATAGGCTTTAGTAAAGTGATAGTGCTTTGGATCTCGGCGAGATGCTCTAAGTGCGCTTTTAGAAAGGCTATCCAAGGCTCAATGTCACGTTCTATGGATACAGTAGAGGGATGTTCTTCCCAGTCCAAGACTTTATCAAAGAATTCGGTAAATGGTGTTAGTTTAGCATCAATCAGTGCAATGGAGTCTCTAGCGATTTTATCTATGATTTCTTCTGGGTACTTGTTTATTTCTACCATAATAGCTTCTGGCTCCATAGTATTAAAGATCTGAACTACATTAAGCTCAGTAAACTCGTGCAGTTCTTTGCTCAGATTATTGTATGTACGACTTAGTTCATAATACTTTCCCAGAGGGGTGTTTGGAAACCGCAATATTCCTGATATAGTGTGTTGTTGCTTTACAAATGAGTATAGATAGTGATTGAGCTGGCGGGCAGTACATCGATCATTCAAAGATATGTCAGAGGAAGAATTAACAATAAGACGCTTCCACTCCTTAATTGTGCTTAGCTGAAGATCCTTTTGAACTTGGGTAAAAGACCGGTTAGAAATCCAAGGAAAACTGATAAAGAAATTGAGGTTACTAGAATATGTGGCCGGGCCTTTATCTCTAAGACAAAACAGCAGAGGCAAGTATAGTCCAGGTTGGGTTGTACTCAGTGTCTGGTATAAATCTTTAGTTGGCCCATTCTTCTTAGCCGCCTCAAATATATCCAGAGTCCGCCTGATCATAGGTTGCATATACTGAGTCCAATGCTTAACCCAATTTATCCCTGCTGCTATTGAGCTACGTTCTAGATCAATCTCGCATTTAAAGTTACTAGGAGATACTGTATGCAAACAATTGTCATAAAGAGAGATCCATTTGGCAGCCTCGGAAACACTGTTGAATTGGAAAGGAAACAATCTCTTCCATTCTTGTTGTTCAAAAGTATCTATCTCATCTTCATCTATTTCCTCAGCCGTAGTATAGAAACAATTCGATCCAAGTGTAGCTTCCATTTCAGGTTGAAAGACCAGACTATTGTTAGCATATCTGGCACAGTCCATGAACTGCTCGACAAGATTCTGATTCGAACTAATCTGGCTAGCACTTACTAACCGGCCAGGAAGTACCTGATCTGAGATAGCCCGGGCAATACCCGCCAAGCTATTACTCTGTTTATATACTGCACTAGTCTGGGAAACTAGACCGAGCCAGTTCAGCACCTCAAACCCAGCAACTGCAATGTAATGGTAGATATTCATAAAATTCCAAACTCCAAACCCAATCTATACTCTCATCTTTTAATCTACAATGACGATACAAGTGAATAAAGATCGTACATCTATCACACCCAACTACATTACTCAAACCGGTACTACTATTACCTTCTTATTTCATATTCCAAACAGTCATTATGTCCTCCACAATACAAACCCCACACCAACCCAGGCATATACCTCTTTGAATTTAATCTTGACCTCTATTTTTAATGCCTAACTGTAGTGCTGTCATACGACCACTACTCATTTCCCACAACGATCAACCTGATCACTGGCAAGCTACTCACTAGAAGCCATCTATTAATATTACTAGTTCCCGGAACTTTAATAGAATCAGGGTCTTATAACCAAAGTAATTTTGCATATCTTATCTACATTTCGATATGACGTTATCCTCTCACTCACAGCCACATTTATCTAATAAAAGGTACCGGTGTTCGTCTCAAGGAGTGTCTTTAATGGAGTATGTATTGGCTAATGGATGTTATCCATTCCATGGGCATTACAGTTATCCATCCCATGGGCATTACACTAACTCAATCCCAACTCAACTCAATCCCAACACCAACTAAAGCAGCTTGTTTAGACCAAAGGACATTTATTATAGATCGGCCTGGAAGTGTGGCTTATCATCAATAATGGCTGCTGTTCCACTATCAAATCCTTCTGTCTGAGTTTTGGTAGACACAGTGGCCTCAGTAGGGGTAGGATCGGCAGGGGCTGTATCGGTGGACTGTTCAAGTAGATCAGCTGGATCGACTGGCACCATTGAACCGCCTTCGGCAGTAACTGGCTGGGTAACTGGAGCTGAAGTGGGTTCTTCCGCGTTACCTTCACCTTCCTTAACTTCACCTTCCTTAACTTCACCCTCCTTACCTTCACCTTCTTTAGCCTCAAGTTCAGCTTTAGCCTTGGCTTCTCTCTCTTGTAGATCTTTCTCATCTCGCAGACGTAAGAACTCGTTATACTCTTTCTGCAGGGTTCCTATTCTAAGAGCCAACCGCGTATCAACGTTTTCAAACATCTTCCTGACCTGTAAACTCGGTTTCTTAGCTTGCAAGTCCTTGACTTCCGCAGATATTTGGTCTAAGTACTGCTGGAATGATTCAGCCTCCTTAGGTATGTGCGGTAAAGCCTCTTCATAAATCCGCGTTCCTTCAGACAGTTGGTCAAGAATAGCTCGAATTAGATCTTCTATCTTTAACCGAATACTCTCACGTTGGGCCGCAGCCTTAATCGTAGCCATATAGTCAGCAACGGCCTTAGATCGTTCCGGACTCTTACCAAAAGCCGTTACAGTCCGATTACCAATATAAGAGAATAACCGAGAGAATAAACCTTCTTTCTCTTCCGCATCCAAGCCCTTAAAGACTGTATCGTGTGACTCCAGGTTTTCCTTCTTCCAAATCAACTGAATGTGCTCCATTGCTTTACTCTCATTATTCAGAAGATGTTCAACGCCAGAATTAGTCTTCTGTTCCCCATTAAGAACATAAGTCAGAGCACTCTTGACTCCAATCGTACCTAGAGGATACTCCACCTGAATACCTACTTTCCTAACTTGAGCTGCACCTAAAGATAAAGAAGACTTATTCGCAAACTGGCACTTTTCCTCATTCAATCTACTTTCAGATAATAACGTACGGAATAAAGTTGGGACAAAAACATCGTTATAAACCAAAGTCACTTCGGGTATAATATCTTCTTGACCTCTCTTTTTGCTAACCTTCATTCTCTTGGCCTCTACAGCAGCTACCATATCATTGATCAAAGGCACCTTATCCTGCACCCATTGATATAACTGACTCTTTAAAGGAGCAACATTTATCCGGTGGTGAGATTGCTCACTTCGTGGAACAATAGTCTGTTTCTCCTCAGTATCAATCTGTTCCAAAACAATCTGCTCAAACTCAATCAGAGCGTCTTCCTTATGCTCATTGTTGATTTCAATCAAGATACTATTAACTAAAGGTAAAATGTTATAACTATAACTCAATACTGCTTCTTCGTTCTCTTCCTTAGCCAAATCGGTTTCAGGATGAGTTTCGCACCGGATTGGCTTAGTGCCCCCATAGAAAGTAATCGCCATGTTGTTCTTTTTACGACTAGCAACTATCTCTACTAATTTCGAGACTAAGTACTCCTCTATTTGCTGGTACAACTCGTTCTCATCATAGATAGGAAAGACTTTAGGCGTATAGACGGCAGTTAGTCTCTTCTTTTCAGGGGTGTACCTTAGTAAGGAAGCTACTACCATCCGACCTCGTAGGACATAGACCTGCATTATCTTAGGTACAGTTCCAGGTGCTATATAATCAGCGGCAATAGCTACGTCATCTCCAATTATACCTACAGTCACTGATCGTTCAAAAAGCCGCCGAGCTGCTTCAGTGGCTGCTTCTAGAGCCTGTGCTTTTTGCTCACTTGTTGCATACGCACGGACAGTCAGACAAAGTGAGGCGGGTATTAGGGAAGAACACTTAGTCTCAGGCATATCTTTGAACTTGCGCAACTTCTCTCCCAAGTATACTCCATAGAGATAAGATACGGGTAAGTCCGTATACAAGCTATCATGTTTGACTGTAAAAGGACCTCCTCTATCTCCTCGTCTTAGGAAAGGGAAGCGCATGTACGTTTCCTCTTCTGACTCGAATATAAGTCCTTGTGGACTATAAACAGCCAATCGGTCATTGTCTAGTTTAATCGCCCCACTTGAATCAATACTAAGGCCTTTACTGTTTACTATCTCTTTCTTGTTATCTTGAGCAGTTAAGTGCGCACCCCCAATGCTAATCGAAGCATTTAAAAAGGAATCGTCAATGCCCACAAAATACGCGTTAGTAACTTGAATTAACCCTAAACTTGAGAACAAACTTATAAACAACCAGAAACAATTCATCAGCACCAAAAAAATATTGCACTATTAAGTGGTTAGTTGTGTATTCTTAGTGTTTGATTGGGTTTGGGATAGGTTGGTAGTTGTATTTTATTGATTTGGGCTTGATTTGGTTGTTTGGTATCTTGTCTTTGGTTATTTGATATATCTTTATTGTTTATTTTGGATTGGGTTAGTGTGAAAGATGTCGAGACTTCAAAATATCTAAATTATCCTTTGGCACATACTATCTCAATAATAATCAAAAGAGATGTTTTCTTTGAAAATAGATGTTAAGCTAAGTTGGTTTGGGTTGGTATTGGGTTAGGTGGGGTGGAGTTGAGTTAGTTTGGGGATAGGTTGGATTGTGTTGGATTGAGTTGGAGTTGAATCTTGAAGTTAATACAAGCCTTTGCTGAGTATGACTTCAACTTTGAGTTTTAATAATTCTCAGAGATATAGGTGGGTAAATACTTTGTATGTAATACGATGTGGTATGGTATGGTATAGGGTGGAGTGGAATGGAGTGGAGTGGCTGTTGAGTGTCAGACTAATAAACCTGTGGCTTTTGGTCGTTGCTTCTTTTGAATTATAGACTGGTTCTGTCTATTTTATGACGTTCATATCTTGGGTTTGGTCTGGTAGAACTAAAATCCGGTTGGTGTAGACCGGATTCAATTTAATGTGTTGGAGATATAGGTGGTGCTCTTATTCTTTATTTGTTTAGACTTAATATAACTCAGATGATTAACCGAATGATTTATTTATCTTAGATGTAGATAATACGGAGTTCGGATTCCATTAACTCATTACTATCTAAGTCGCAGCGCATTTGATAGAAATAGAGTTGGCAATCCTTAATCATTTGGATATCTTGCTCGGGGATCTTATTGATAGGCTTGGTTGACATGGCTTCTACCAAACTAGTTCTGAGCTTGAGATCTTTCGCACTTTGAATCCGTTTAGGCTTATAAGCGAGATTAAACCCTTTGGCACACGTTCGACAGTAGGGAGATGACTTTAATGGGCTGTGGTGGGATCTTTCTTGTGAGCCCGCCTTCCGGCGGTTTATACAAGCGTGACAGATTAAGTTGTGTAAACACGAAGTAATGTAGTAGATGTTATCGGTTCTTCTCGGGTCTTGGTTCTCTTCCACACTCATTGGGATAGTAATCTTGCGCTTGCAGTACATGCAAGAGATATTATTGTTGGGGGTTTTCGGCATATTCTCTGTGGGCGTTATAGGTTGGGTTAGTATTGGGATAGTACAATTGAATTTTGAACAGCAAGGGATAGGGATAGGTATGAGTTTCGCTGGCACTTTTAGGATAGGTCGAATACCTGACAAGACCTTGGAATTTATATATTCTTGTACAATGTTGTTATCGCCGTTCGTACTGAGGTTCAAACATACAAGAGTCTGCCGAGTCTTCAGTTGAATATAATCGCTTTTTGAGATGTCCGGTTTTACTTTAATTATCAACGATGCGGATAACCAATTGGGAATGTGGTAACGGCTGTTCATTATATGTTTGTCTCGATCGTCTAACTTAATGTTGATTAGATTCAAGTTGGTTATATGTCCAAATCGGTGAGTTATCCAACGCAAAATGGCTATGAGGTTATTTTCGGTCAAAGTATCAGTGCCATCGAAATATAAGATAAGTGAATCTACACTATCGGGTGTAATTTCGACTCTAGCGAAATTAGTGGTGGTTGGCTTCTGAGGAGAATTATCTGTAAGATCGGTTTCTAAAGCCCGCATACTAAGGTTGTCAAACATTATATCATCCACGGCCTCAGTATGCCAAGGCCCCATTGTCTCACGAACGTTATTGTAACTGTTTATGATATTTGAGAAGTAGCTATTAAGAGAAACAATCTGATATTGAACACCAAAGCGGCTAAATTCGCTTAAGACATTGGCATACTTCATGCAATCCACATTGTGTAGTTGCAAGAACAGCTTTTTAAGACCCAGATCATCGAGCGTTTTGTTTTGATTGGCCATTGTCTTTATGTAGTTGAACAGTGAGAATTCCTTGAATTTACCAGTGGCTGTGTAGATCGTGTGGTTTTTGACCTCTTCTAGTTCAACAAAGTCGTCAATCACAAGTTTGGAGATTAGATTGCTTATAGGAAGAGAGAGAATTTGGGCTATGGCCAGGTTTTGGTTGTACTGGTTTAGAATATGCAGTTCTATTGGGTTAACAAAGCTATAGTTGTTCAATAGGGTGTAGATAACATCACGATGCACGTTAGAAAGCACTAAGGTCTTAATGTTGAGATGGTATTTTGGTTGGTCAGGTGGGGATGTTTTGATCATATCTATATTAAAAATGCCCATTTGCCCGTGAACCTTATCGATATTGGCGAGTGTAAGTTTCTGGGCAGTAAGGTTTCGGAACCGATTCAGCAGATCAAAGCAACTGCTGATGTAGTCATTGACCCATTCATACGGTCCTTTGATCGTGATACTATTGTAGCGTATATGCTGGCAGAAAGGTTGGCGCATATGTTTGGATATTATAAGTCCGTCTGACATCATATAGTGTCTAAGTTGAAAGAAGAGGTCTATTTGAGGCAGTGAGGTCTGTGAACCACTCATTTGATGGCCATCACACACCCGTTTCTGCATTTTAAATTCACATGGCACCTGGGCTAGCCCACCAAATTTGTTGAGTCTAGCTAGAGTTAACAAAATATGATTTCGTCCACTATCATACTGAAACTGATCTTCATCCGCACTTATACCATACTGGAGACAAGCTTGTCGATTATAGTACTTTTGGTAATAACCCAAAACTCCACATGCTTCTGTATTGGGAATTGTAGTGATGACCTTACGAGCAAGAATAATAGGCCTAGCCTCTGCGACAACTTGAATAGTTTTAGTCTTTTGGTATTCCACCACCGGATCACAACCAGTACCAATCAGCGTATGAACACAAATTTCAGTCGGATTATGTTTAGCTATATACCTAAGAATCGACCATTCACTTATAAGAGTTATCGTTGAATCAATGGTCGTAGTTGCCTGTTCAAGCCCAGTAAGTATCCCCACATTCTTCAGCACAGAGATAATAACAATTCTACTACAGCGAGGAGAAGAGTTATGAAGAAACCCAAAATCAAACGTACCCCCAGAATTACTAATATCTAAAACAAACGTGTAATCATCTATTAATGCTAAACTGCTAAGAATCAAACCACAATTAACACTTTCATTCTTTAAAACCACTGCTTTAACCGACCGCAACAAAGCAACATTCGCATTAATCCACTCTCGAGCACCGAGTGCAGTGAATTCAACTTGGCACGCCAACTTATAATTAATCCGACTAAATGCATTATATGCCTCTTTCTGAGCATTCGTAACATGCCCCGGGCCTTCTGTTCTTAATTCTCTATCCTGCTTCATTACAGTACCAATGACCAACTTCTCACAATCAAATGTGTTAACAATTCGAGATACAATTAGCAGATTCATATTATAGCAGCATCCACCATTCAAATCAAACCCAACATAAACATGTCTAACCCGAATTGACACAATCCTTCGCCATACATCCAACTCCTTATTGGCCATACTGACATCCTCATATTCGTGCAACTGAAAAATAAGCCTATATCCCATCACCCTTATCCTATAACCAATATTCTCGCTCTTTAACTCCTGCAAATTACAACCTACACTACGATCCGTCTTCACTGAACCATCACTATTCAAAACATAACCTTTAGCCATAAACTTCTGTTCTACCAACGAGGACTCGTCCGAACTCCCAGACTCATTATTCTGCTTCTTACCTCCATCAATACTAGAATCACTAACATACTTAAAATCAACCTGCCATCTAAACCCAAGCGTTTGTAGGACCTCTTCTATTTTGCTTTCCAATGGCTGCCACTGATCCTCCCTCGTTGACTTCAACTTCAAAGCCAAGGCCGAGGTCAACACCTTATCAAGCTTGTCCTCACTATTATTCGTATCTTTAGAATTCGTATCTTTAGAATCCGTATTTGTCAAGCTACATATATCCTTATTGTCACTACCACTTTCAACACCATTAGCATTGCTATTACCTTCCACCGCTATCATTCCCAATACTTCACGCCATACCACCAGCCCTAAACACACAACCACCGCCCAGTATCTCATTGCTCTATACCCACGATCCATCTTCATATTCTTGGTCGTGTTCGTCTTCATACTCTTATATACCACTTGCATTGTATTACACCTATTTTACTACTCAGTCTTTATATCTTTATAGCTCACATTTGATCATTATTTAGATCGCTACTAAAGCATCAACCCAACCCAATAATAACTCAATTCAACTCCACAACCACTAACACAACCACCACCTTCAATATATCAACAAGCCGAGCTAAACCAACCCAAACACCCCATCCTAATTTCACATCTACCCCACAAACCAACCCAAAACACAACCCCTCCAGCCCTATCTCAATTTAGATAATTTTATATTAACTTGAGTTATGCTATCTTAGTGTAGTTCTGTCATACAACCAATACTTAGCACTACTTACTACTTAGCACTACTTAGTACTTACTACTTATGTAGTGCTGTCATACGACCACTACTCATTTCTCACAACGATCAACCTGATCACTGGCAAGCTACTCACTAGAAGCCATCTATTAATATTACTAGTTCCCGTAACTTTAATATAACCAGGAGGCTTTAACCAAATTAGTTTTGCATATCTTATCTACATTTCGATATGACGTCATCCTCTCACTCACAGCCACATTTATCTAATAAACGGTACCGGTGTTCGTCTCAAGGAATGTCTTTAATGGAGTATGTATTGGCTAATGGATGTTATCCATCCCATGGGCATTACAACTTACTACTACTATCTCTAATACTAACTCTAACACCAATACTAATACCTATACTAATACCAACACAATCATATTTACTTAATAAAAGGCCCTACTCGTCTCAAGAAATGTATTGAGTTGGTATTTGAATATGAGATAAGATAAGAAAACAACTTATTAGATAAGATAATAAAACAACTTATTAGATAAGATAAGAAAACAACTAACTACTTACTCATATTTATTGGCAAGCAAGCAAAGAAGCCCTGAGGAGTGTTTACTTGGTCTTCTTAAACTTCTTCTTAGCCCTAAGGTTAGTCGAGTGTCCACAAGAGTCTTTGCGGCAGTGAGTAGCCCTAATGTTATTACGAGAGTAGCAACCACGGCAAATAAGTAAACGAGTTCTTTTTTCAGTCACAAATACTCTATCAGTATCAGTAATAGTTCCTCCTCGTAAGCGTAGTACTAAGTGAATAGTACTTTCCTTCTGAATGTTATAGTCAGATAAAGTCCGGCCGTCTTCCAATTGTTTACCAGCAAAGATCAATCTTTGTTGATCGGGAGGTATTCCT